GTGATCTTAGTTCTAAACCAGGAAAGCTTCATGGCAGATTATCTCCACATTATCTACAGATAAGCTTCTCCTTTGTTTTAAGAAGACAATACAGCTAAAATAGTGTGGTTTTGAGTTACCTTGAATTACTGCAGATCCCTGGAGTTGCTAATCCCTTTTTCTGTGTTCTTAACCTCAGGGTGCTTAGACATAAATTCTTCTGTGAAAGGAGCCCGCTTTGTTCGGTTCTGTGATGCCTTCAACATCCCCCTGATCACGTTTGTGGATGTTCCTGGATTTCTGCCAGGTATGCCTTACCCTTAGAGTTCATGTGGTGCATGGTGGTGTTGGTGCTAAAAATCCATTTTCAGAACTCTGAGAAGACTTTTGCTATGGTAGACCTAAACCAGGTTTTAAAATCCCACTTTTTGGGGCAGAAACTCTGCATTCTAACTACAGGAGTCATCACAAAGGATAGTGCCTAACTCACCAGTGTGTCAGGAGTCACAAGGCTTTGCTGGAGGTACCTGAGGAGAGAGACACATCACACAGTCAGTTAGTACTGCAGTCTCCAGCAGCCTGCCAGAGACACTGGGATGGCCAGTTTGCCAGGGTCAGGCCTGGGGACACCATGCACTGGGAAGCTCTGTCCTACTGCCAAAAGCTGTGACTGTGACCTGTGCAAGGTGAAAAGCTGCATTCCCTGGAGATGCTGCCCTTGTTCTAAGGGGTGTGAGGTTACACTGATGCCTGTATTGTACCAAGGTAAATGCTGAGCTGTGTTTTCAGATGTTGTTTGCCCTCCACAGCTCTTGCTGGGCAGGGTGGCAGCAGCAGACCCTGCACAGGCTGTGCTGGGCCAGGGGAGGCACTGCTGGCTCTGGGAAGGGAGCAGTGGCAGCCGGGGCCACTTGAGGATGTTCCACCCACATCTGCTGCACCTGCTGCCCAGAGGGGCTGGTGCAGCCCTGTCACTCAGACCTTGGGCTAAACCAAGGTTCTTTTGCTCTGGGTAGACACAAAGGACAAAATCCCAACCAAATTGTCTCAAGAGACAAAAACCGCTAAAGTTTACTGGAAAACTATAGAAAATTAAGGAACATTAGCAAAACAGTAAATGCAGGATAAAATCACTTATCAAAACATAGACTTAAATCACTGAACATAGAAAACCTTTAAACCCATTCAATGTCACATTCTGTAAGAAGAGAGAAGAAGAAGAAGGAAGGGAGAAAACCAGAAAGACAGAAAAGATACAGAAAAATAGCTTCCAGTTCCTAGGTTCCAGTGATGTAAAACTCCAAGATAAAGGTAAAGGACAATGTGCTTGCCTCATGCTCAGGCTTCTTAAAGCCTCTTTGATGCTCCAAGACACTTCTCAGTGGAAAATGCCTGTGTTTAGAGGTACATCAGTGGGGAAAGGGCTGTGATGAGCCTGCTTTCAGCACAGGCTCTCTGAGCAGGTAACATTAAAATGACCCATTACAAAACAGGTTGAGAGGGAACTATAAATGTTATACAATCAAATCTACTGTTAATACTGTTGTATAAACCATGGTTTACCTTGAGGCCTCTGCAGTTCTCAAAGGATCAGAATGTGACTATTCTGCATTCCAGTTCCTGTTTTAACACAATGCAGTTGGCACATTTTAACCAGGAGTTCCTCCCCTGTCTCCCCAGTGTAGGCTCAGCCACCTCCTTTGGTGCAGACCAGGCAGTGGCTTGGTGTAAGCAGACACTCCAGCAATCCAGATTTGAGCAGTTGCTCAGAATCCAAGAACTATTTCCATATAGCTAATTCAAAGTAGTGACTTGATACTGCACAGTAAATATTGATTGATACTGCACAATAAAATGTTGGTTTGAAAGAAGGTAAATGGAAGAAAAAAAAAAAAGACGAACCTGAAGAGATGAGACCTGAGGTTTGATTATGATCCAAAAAGTGTTGTGTTTTAAGGAATTTGGCAAGATTAGCCCATTAGCATTAGAAACCTCAGATTAAGTAACAAATTCTGTTTCCTACTGCTGGTCACATCTGGAGTCTTGAAAATGCTCTAATGTACTTGGTTCCTCGGAAGGTCCCATCTAGCTGAGCTTTGCTTCTCTGACCTTCCATACAAACAGCTGCTACTCTGATTTCTGAGTTGCTCAGTATCTTGCAGAGAACATTGCCTGGCATGATCTTCTCCAGGGTGTTACCATGGCTGTGGTGGTGGTCAGGTTTGCTCCTGGTGGCAGATGTGGTTGTGTGAACTCCCTGGAGTGAAGCAATTCCCTGTCCTTTGCAGGCACGGCTCAGGAGTACGGGGGGATTATTCGTCACGGTGCCAAGCTGCTTTTTGCCTTTGCAGAGGCAACTGTGCCTAAGATCACTGTCATCACTAGAAAGGTGAGCTGGCAGATTCCATGGAGATCATCCAGAGTTCCTTTTGAACTAGTGGCAATTTTAGTTAAACCAAGCTTTGTCTGTCTGTCCCAGTGGTGCTTTCTACCATTGTCACATCTCTGTTTGTCCCATTTGGTAACACCTCTTTGTATAACATTACGAGAGGCCACTTCTATTCCCAGAACACTACCTCAGTTCTTTCCTTCCTCTTGTCTCTGTACCCACCTGGAACTTCCAATTTCTGCTCTCTGCTTTCTCTCTGGAATGCCTTCACTCAAGTACTTGTCCCATGTCACCCAGCCTGTCTCACTAAGGACATGCCATCTGTCAGCAGCAATTCTGCTTTCTTGCCTCTTGAGCCTCCCTCTGCAAACCCAGCACTGGCTGCATCTGTCTTCTGCTGTCTGCAGGTTGAACACTCATGTGTCTTCTTTTCCTCCCCAGACTTCTGCCAGGCTCTACCTCATCTTCCTTTCTCCATAAGTACCTGACACCCTAGTGCCATAAGCTCTGGGGCTGGCACCTTACAACCTTAGCCTTCTCCCTGCTGCTCTGCCCCTCCTGCTCGTTTTTCTGATACTCCTTTGGCTTATCATGGCAAAAATCAAGAAAAATTTTCTGTTCCTTTGCCTTCTCTGATTGTTCCAAGTATTTCCATGCAGTACTTGTCAATCCTGCAGCCCTGCTGCACTGTTCAGTACGGCCCTGACAGGGACTGCACTGCAGTTTGCTCTGCAGTCCTGCAGTATCTGTTCATCACTGCTGTCTGGAGCATTTCCAGTTCCAGAGTGGAGCACTGCAGAGCCTGAGTGCTGCATTCCCTGGCCAGGAGATTCCAGAAGCACACTGCCTGGTGGGTTTGTGTGCATGTGCAGGGTGCAGGTTGAGGCCTGCTGGTCTGGATACACACTGACCCCTCCCTGCCTGCCTTGCAGAATGGGCTTTGTCAGCAGCCCCCTTCCTTACTCTTTTGGGGCTCTGGTTGAAGTGGTGTCTGTTCCTAGGAGATGGCTGCCACAAAGTGGAGATGCTCATGCTCTCCTTCAGATAAAAGCCCCAGCTGCTTGTCTCTGGACTAGAAAAAGCTGCAGGTGCAATGCAGGCTGTTGCTGCTGCAGGGCCACTCCTGGAGTGGCTGCCCTGGTTTGTGTCACAGGCCTATGGAGGTGCCTACGACGTGATGAGCTCCAAGCACTTGCGAGGAGATGTGAATTACGCCTGGCCCACAGCTGAGGTGGCCGTGATGGGAGCCAAGGTGAGTCCAGGCCCTTCTCACCGCGGTGCACCAGTGCCCTGCCAGCAGCACCAGTGCCCTGCCAGCAGCACCAGTGCCCTGCCAGCAGCACCAGTGCCCTGCCAGCACCATGGGCTGTCCTGGGGCTGCAGGCAGGGCAATGCTGCCATGCCCTCACCTGGAGGGCACGGCCTGAGGGCCTGTCACTGACAGAGCCCTTCTGTTCCCAGGGTGCTGTCCAGATCATCTTCAGAGGAAAGGAGGCAAATGCAGAGGAGGAGTACGTGGATAAGTTTGCAAACCCTTTCCCTGCTGCCATAAGAGGTATGGTTGTCTCCCACACTGTGTTTCACTTGGATTGCCATTGCATGGAGATAAAGTTGTGCTATTGAATAAACCTTTTGCTAACAATTAAGTTATTTAGGTAAGATAGTTGTATCTGAGTTAGAAAGGTGATGCTTAACCACCACCTGTGCATGTGGACAACATCTGGACACAGGACACATCTTCAGCTGCAAAGTGCCTGGTGAAAAGCAGGGACTGCTCTGTAAAGTACATTTTCCATTGTGCAGATAGTAGAAGGTGTCTCAAAATTCAGCCTTTTCCTTTATAGCACAGGTGCTTTGACAATCTGTTATACAGCCCTCAATGCAAAGCAGTGGTCTGAAGAAAGACTAGGGCCAGTTATGTTCTCCAGAACTCTCAGTTCTCAAGTTTTTCCACTGCTTCTACTTTCAGTTTTGGAGCAGTAACTGTGCTCTAAAAGGCAAGTTATATTCAGAATAAAAAAATAGACTCAGGAATGTTTCCTTCTCAGTCTATTTTAAATGTAGCTAATTTATAACTTGTGAACTTATTTATTGCAGCCATTGTTTTGATTTTGCTAACTTATGGGTTAGCCTAGATACAGAAGGCTGGGAGGCAAACACTTCATGGGGTTTTTTGTTTCAATCTTTTGCAGGGTTTGTTGATGACATCATCCAGCCTTCGACCACCCGCACTCGCATCTGCCATGACCTCGATGTACTGGCCAGTAAATCCCAGTCCAGTCCTTGGAAGAAACATGCCAACATCCCACTGTGAGGGTGAGCAGGGGCTGCCCATGCTGGGAGACATTCTGAATATGAGTTCTGGTTAACTCTGGTTAATGGAGGTTTGCTTGGCAATAGAAACAGTTATTTTAATTTTGATTTTTGCCAATAATCATGAATAAATCATAGCATACATTTAATCTGGGGGTCTGACCAGCTCGCCTCTCTAAACCCTTTCTTGGTGGTTAATACTCAACACATCCTGCCCTGTCTGCTGCAGGTGAGCTGTTACTAATGGCTCAAGGTCAAACATTCCTTGGCTCCCTCTTTCCATAGGCCCTGGAGGTGGCTCAGTCCTGCCTGAGCTGGGAAGTCTGACCCCTGTGGAGTTCAAGGGTATTCCACTGGCCACAGACTTTGGAGTCTGACTCCACATGCTGCACCACTGACTCAGAGAGGAAAATCCTAAGCTTGGGTTCCAGTGCCCTGGAGCCCAGGCCCTGCTGATCCCAGACTCAGTTGTTCTGTTCCTCTGGTAGTCTGGCCTGTGGCAGCTTTTCCTTGCTGCCTGCAGCAGCTGGGTCTCAGAGCCCCAGGACAGAGGTGGGTGGCACAGGAGAGGCACAACCAGTCCACTCTTAAGAACAGCAGACAAAAAAGGGCAGTTTTGGTGGGACATGCAAACCCTCCTCCCTCAGCAGAGGCTGGAACAGAGACCTCCAGAGGCCCCTTCCAGCCTCCTTTCTCTGGGATTATTTGCCAGCCTCGCCAGGAACCACTGCAGGAGCTGTTACTCTCATCAGCTCTGGGCCTTCTCTTCAGCCCCAGGGCAGTGAGGAACAGCCACTGTCACATTTAGTGCTGCTGCTGTGGTCATCTGGCTGCCCTGAGTAACTGGCATTTGTTATGTGTGTGACAGAGCCTCCCTACCTGCACTGCAGCTGCTGCTGCTCACACCCAGCACAAGCCTGAAGGAGCAGAGGTAGGACAGCCGTGGGCCAGGCAGCTTCTCTTCCCAGCCAAGTGCAGTGAGTAGAGCTGTGGAGCTTGAGCCTCTACCTGGGGGGGAAAAGCAACAGCTAAATATCATCTAAAAGCACAATATAAAAGCAGCAGTGCAAGTAGGAGTTGCAGCTCCCCAGGTTTTTGGATGCATGGGTTGCAGACACACTGGCTGTCCTGGATGTGGCCTCTGTATGAAAAGGCTCCTGGTGCTGTCCCAGGGAACAGAGCTGGCTGCAGCAGGGGAAGGTAAATGCAAATGCTATTGGGGTGGGTGTCATGGCCATGGTGGGAGCTCCTAGTTAACTGTGAGAAAACTGTAAGGGTTTATAATGGCCAAGATTTTCCAAAGGTAAAGCAGGTTTAGAGGCAGAAGCTGTGATAGGGGAAGGGATACATACACAGCTTCTTCAGCTTGCCCAGAGTCAGAAGGAGACAATCCATGAGAAACTCCCTTGTCATAAAGAGGAAAGTACAGCTTTGTTAGTTGTTTCCTAACCTCAGTATTGCTACAGACTCCAGCCTCTCTCCCATCCCTTGCCAGCACAAGAATTGGGCTTTTAGATCCTCTCCACTTCCAAACAGGCAGGTGCTCTACCAGAACATGCTGGAAACAGGCTTGAAAGCTGTTCTGACGAGGCTGCTGAGAATTCCCTTGAAGTCCAGTCACCTAAAAAAACAAGAGGTACAAAATAAAATCCCTTAAATAATGTGTAGCCCTTGAACTTAGCAGCAAGGCAAGTTACTTACTGTGTTCCTCAGTGCAGGAGTTGCCATAACTTACATACAATTGGAGACTGAGCTTTCATCCCTGTGCCTCAGCAGCTGTATCTTGTTCCTTTTCATGACTCCAGTGATTTTTCCTTAGGAAGTGGGCCAGGTGATAAAGCAGTCAGTTTTCTTTAGCACTACAGAGATGAAATCTTTCATGGGTTGGACAAAAATAGCACCTGCTCCCTGAGACATGGGAGTAACATGGACATTTTGTTTCAGGAATCTGTGAAACTCCATTTAGCCCAGCTGGTTGTTAGAACTTTGAAGCCTTTCCCATGGCAGTTTCTTCCCACAGACTCCAGGTCACTTCAGACGTATAGGGCAGAAGAGAGAAAGTCTTCTCAAACCTTGTGGCATTTCAAGAAATCGTAAGTTTTAGCAGTGCAGCTCTTGCAGCTGGTGTGGGGCCTTCCCAGATTTACAGCAATCCCACATTCACCACCCCTCTACCCCCCCAACCAAACCACATGATGGTGGAGGGGAGAAAGAAGCCCAGAGAGGGTTTCCATCACTCTTGAGGCTGAGTGGGTAAGGGAGTGGGGTACAGGTCTGGTTGTGAAGCCTGGACTACATGAAAGCTGTCAGTTTTGCCTTTAATAATTCCTTGAATTCCTACTACTACATGGGATGACAAAATGTGATGGTCCAAACAAGCACTTAAAAGAAAACTATAGTGAAGAGGGTGCTCATCATACTCATGATTTTGAATAGTTTATTAAATGAAAGGTGAAGCATCAGTTTTAAATTGTACAAAAGGAAAAAAAACCTCATATTGTAAATGTACAATTTACAGAATTACTAGCAAAACCAATCAAGGAGACACTCATAATACAAAAACCTATTGACTGCAAACTGAACTGGAGACCCATTGCAGGTACCATGATAATAAATGTTTGTTATACAGTATTCTACAATGTTAAATTAGGAATCAGTTTTCCACACAGAGGACTGTGAAGCACAAGGTTTGTCTGAGACTCTGACTCAAAGTGGGCAGCATCTGTTGTGCCACCATGCTCACAGAGTGATCCTGGGACAGGTCCTGCAGCCATTCCTGCCCCCAGGCCGTGGGGGTGCACAGAGGGAGGTAACAGGGTTTATAAAGTTCCAGCTACTTCTTGGATTAATAGATCCCCAACCCACACTAAGGAATGGCTGAATTACCTGGTCAAACATTTTTGGCAACCGGGTGTGAGAACTGCACGTGTTGTGAGAGCCGAGCTCAGCTGGGTGAGTGCTGGGCTGGGTGAATTTGGGCTCTTTCCCTGCCCGCGCTGGGCACTGAGGGGTTGGGCTGGTGTCCAGTAAGCTTGAAACAGAAAAAGCTCCGTGATTATTCTGCAGTTGCTAAAACCAAAGCACCTCTGAAACTGCTGTGCTCCAAGTGGGTCAGTCTGCTTTGTATCCCAACTGCTACTGAGTGCAGAAAGATGAAGCTTTTGGGGCCAATTGTTGGAGATCTGCAGCTGTGGAGGGCCAGCACTGCTGGTGCCAGGCCAGGCTGGGTAAGGAGCAGCTACTACATCGAGTCATAAAATCGAAGCATAATGAAATTCCAAATTATTGAAGACATTGAAAAATATCTTAGTACAATGAATTAGCTGAGAATGTTTTGGGGTTTTTTTGGAATTTTTTTTGATGTTTTTAGCTTTTTTGAAAAATCATATTTTTTTCCAAAGAATTACTCTCAATATGCACAGTTAACACTGAAAATGTAGCTGTAGTCCATTGTAAGCTTAAGAACTTCACCATCTAAGCACAAATTTCTATGCAGCACATACAGTACTTCTAACTGGCAAAATTAATTTACAAAAATAGCGGAAAAGGGTATTTACGGCATGGAAAGTAGACTCTGTTTTATGGTACAGTTAAAATTACTTTTAGTATGCTAAAGTGATCCTTTCCCCCACCCTTGAACTATTTTTTTTTAATAGGAAAGTTGCTGTTTATGTACCTTGTGTTGGCAGGCTTGAAGTAGGTAGTAAAAACAGCAAAGTGATTACTTGAGAACCATTTGTGTGTTTTACTGAGAATACTTTATTTGCTGGTATAAGTTGCTAAAAATGCACAGAGCAAGTACCAATAGAAAATTTACTGGTTTTGTGTCCCCATGTGCTATATAAAATGAATGTTACACAGCATCTGTTGGAAAAGTGGCTTCATGGACATCTCTTACTTTATGTCCCATTATAAATAAAAATAAATCTTCTCAAGAGTATAAAATCTGGGTTTATCATATCAGAATCTGAAATTTTTTGGCAGAGATGCACGTCATTAGAATTCTAACCTCTTCTCTGAGAGTGTTCTTCTCCATGCCTATGAGAGGACATAAGCGTACCATAATGTTAATCAAATCCAGTGTGTTCCAAAACACTTTTCCGTAGCCAGAACGACCTGCTTACAGCAGCCTTGCTAGTCAGTGGCTGATAGGCATAGGTTTAATAAAAATGGCTAGCTTTGAAAACATAAAAAGGCAAATGTTAAAACCGTTTTAAATTGTACAGCAGAAAAATAAAGTTAAAAAAGTTCTGTTTTCACTCAATGTTGTTTTCAGAAAACATATGTAGAACAGTGTTTATTTTGACAGCTGTCTTAACAATTTAAAACTTCCTCCTCATCCAGAAAAAAAAAAAAAAATCCGTATTAGGACAGTCAAGAACAGGGATACAAATGATTTTTTAGGTCAGCCCTTCTGAGGTGACTGGATTGGCCAACATTCCCGTGTGTCATTAAGAAGCTCCTCTTCTCTCCGTCACTACACCAAGGGGTTGACCTCAATCATTTGGTTAAAAATCAAACCGTATCACATCAAAAATGTGGTTTTCATACAAGCTATCACAGTATATAGGCCTCTAGCTCTAAACAATAGAGTTCCAAGTTTGTAAAAGGTCTTCGCCAGACTTCAGAACATGGGCATGCCAAATCCCTGCAAAGGGGAAAAGACAGCGGTTACTGGGGGTGGGACACGAGCGGGGTCACAGAAGCAGAAGGAGCCGGCCCTTACTGAATCGTCCTCGATGATCGCCGCCGAGTCGAAGAAGTCCGGCCGCAGCTCCGCGCGCTCGCGCCGGTTCCGCGACGGTGGCTGCAACACACGGGAGGGACTTGGAACAGCGCGGGGCACACGGAGCCCTGCCCGCCACAGCCCCTGTGCCTGCCCCCGCCTGCCCCCTGTGCCACAAAACCTCTGGGGCAAACACCTTATTGGAAGAATGGGGTAAAAGCTGATGGACTCGAATTCTAACTCTGTGCTCATAGTTAAAGACTTGCCCAAGGCTCTTGTGACTTAAGGATGTTTCTGTATTGGGACTCTAGGCCAGACTGCACAGAAACTCCCTCTTAACTCTCTTCATGCTTCAAATTCATAGCAAAACTTGAGCTCTGAGATGGTTAAAAATGGATTTACCAACAGAAAGGGTAGAGAACTTACTGAAATATTTCTGAGGCTTAAACCATTTGTGGTGTCCTTCCCCACGAGCACAAGAGTGTGAGCCTCACTGGTTTGATCAATTCCTTCCTTTCCTTGCATGTTACTTACTTGGTAATTACATGAGTGCTGGCAATAACCTCAGTATGCAGCAGCCTTTCCCAAGACACTGTAGCCCAGTCCTAATATAACCTAGGGCTTGTTGTTTAGATGTGAAAGGAGAAACAGGCATAAAAATTGTGAGGTGTGTAGAGCAAACTGCTCCTTTATCCCATTTTACAAGGGAGGAGTCATTCCAGAGGGGAGGCCAGTTAAAGCTGTAAGTGCTGCAAGGAACTTCTCCCAGCAGTCAGCACAGAACTGGAAGGGACTGAGGCTGCCATTGATGATGGGACCTGTTTGGGAGCAATTCCTGTTTAAGGAGCTCCCACCCACACACCAGTGCCTGTGTTCCATCTGGCTGTGACCTACTGAGACCTCAAGTAAGGATCCCCTGCCCAGCCCACCTCCTCAAAATCAAACTAACCAGGAAAGGGAAGGAGAGAGACCCTTTGGCCGTGCCTGTCTGACACATCGTGGATGCAATAAAGAGCCTTGTCAGCACAGCCTGGAACTCATAACCTGATCCTTGTGGCCTGACAAGTCTGAGGTGTGTGATGCTGCTGCTGCCAAAAGCTGCCCAAGAACACACTCTTGGGAAGAAGAAGCACTAAGCAATGCTCCTTGTGTGGCTCTGGAACAAACCCCAGAGCCTCCAGCTGCAGGCTTGAGCCCAGTGGAAGTGCTCACATAATTTCCACTCTAACATTCAGACAACTGGAGGCCAGACTCAAAATTTTGGAAATTTTTGTTTACACTTCTAAAATTCCTTTTAAATTAACTTTCAACTGTTTTAAACTTGCCATTGATAAGATTTACTGACCAGATCAATGACCATTGTGTCCTCAAATTCTTCATTCATGTCTTCTAGCTGGCCTCGTGAGGACATCATTACATCTTCAAAGATGGGCTCAGCGTCATCTTCCATTAGACCTCGTCTGATTAAAGAGAGAGAGTCATTTCCAGGCAGAGAAACTTCCCAGCCCTGATCTTTGTTATTAAAAAGAATGCTCAAATCCTATCATTTAATGCTGATGCTGAGGGCAAAGACAACTGACTCTCTGGAATATCAAACAGAGGAAAATCACACATAAACTCCCCTCCCCAAACCCTGGCCCAGGCTGAAGCAGCAAGTCCCACTGACAGCACGATCACCAGCAATTGAAGTGGTTACAGGGCAGTAACTCCTCTTGTGTTTGCCTGCCCTTTTACCAAGGAGGAATGATCCTTTGCCAGGATCACTGGTAAAGCCCTGGGACCCCAGCAGTGCCTTCAAGCCCAGTTCCAAAGGCTGTAAGGATTCCAGCCCCCGTGCTGAAGGACTCGGTGGGATCAGCACAGAGCATGTGGTGCCCCAGTGTTCACCCATGTGTGTTCTCTCCATGACTGCACAGGGGGACACCTTTGCAAAAAAGGATGGAGAGCACAGCCACAGGAACTGGCTTGTGGGCAGAGTTCACAGGGAATTACAGAGCACACAAACCATGGAACCCTCTGAGGAATGGGGAGCTGCACCCTCACTGGGCCTGGTGTCTGGCCACAGCCAGAGAAGGGCAGTGCTGGGCTGGATCCATCCCAGCACTACAAACTGTCCCTCTGCCCTCACCACAAGGGTGAAATGGCACAGAAACCACTGGCCACAGCAGGAAAGGTAACATTTCACTGAGGGCAGCAGCCTGTGAGCACTTACACTGCGTGCCTTACGCCACTTCTGCCTTTCATGTAGTTCATTCCTGTCCTGTCCTTGCGATTGAGATCCTCCAGCTTCTGCTGGCCCAGCCACGAGATCTGCATCTGGGGACTGACACACAGGGAGTAAGTTACAACCCACAGCACTAACAGTTCTGAGCTGCCTGTTCTGGGGCTGTTTCTGTCTCCAAGTTCTGTGTCTGGCCATGCTCCAGATTAGGATAATTAAATCCCATCCACCACTGTACACATCTTCTGGATTCCCTTCCACAGTCTGTCTCCTCTCACTGTTTGTGCACAAAAAAATCAATTAACTGTTGCAAAAAAAGCAGGTATGGAAACACTGACATTGCTCCTTCATTAGAGGCAGGCACCTGGAGCGGGAGCACCTCTAAATAATAACACCTCTAAATTTTGTTATTATTCAATAGTACTTCACTGTGTCAGATGAGGCAAAATATGAGCAAGAATGGATCCAAATTAGTAACTGACAAAAATGTCACACAATCTGAAAAACAAATGATTTTTACACAAATACCCTGATCAACTTAAGGGCCAGTACCTCACCCATGTGCAAATACCTTCCAGGCTGCACTGCTGATGCCACCAGCAGCCTGTGACCCACAGCCAGCCCGTGCTCACCTGCTGCATCCTGGCAGCACCTGCTGCCAACACCCACTGACAGAAAATAACCAATGTTTTCCCTGTAGATGGAGGGGATAAAATGGGAGCAAAGGGACAAAAAGAATATATCATTTAGGGCAATTACCTCAAATCAGGAATTACTACCTCAGCAGCTGGAAATTTAGAAAATATCAGTCAGGGTGTCTGGAGAACCTTAACTCTGATATCAGGCAGGGAGAAAGGAATACTTACAGGTCTTCCAAAGAAACAATTCCACCCAGCCTGAGACACAAGCACTAGGATGATTTGACCAGAATTGCATGGCTGTGCTATGGGAGAGTTTTAACATAAGGAATTTCTACTATTATTCCATTACAACATATTTTTCTGGGACCTGAGGACAATCCAAGTATTGTTGAGCTGTAGTAAAGGCATTTCCAGGTGGCTTTGCAAATCAACACTGCATCTCTGGACCACAGGCTAACAGTACCACTGTAAACCACAAGGAATTCCTTTGCCTGGCTGACTGTACCTGATGCTGACATTGCAAGACTTACTTGTGTAAAAAATCCTGTTCAGATCCCTGCTCCGACTCATGCTCCTGGATCTGCTCTCCCATTTGTCTGGTGTTCTCTCTCAGGACAGTGGAGGTGAGCTGAGGTGTCTGCAGTGTCCCTGGAGTATGGATGTTCTCATTCCTGTTCAGCCAGGAGCCTTCCAGGCTCTCATCTAGAGAGAGAGCACTGAAATCACTGCTCAGTTCTGACCACATGCAGGGCAGCATTCAAACAAGTGTGCACTGAGGCATCACCTGGATAAATGCTTGGGATTGTAAGATTTTCAGTTCTAATCTTAGATTCTGTTATTTAAAGTATTACTAGCCTCTATTCCCAGCAGTAACAACAATTTAAAGTGAACATACACAAACCCCATTGCAAACAAAGTCATACTGCAGCACAGCCTCAGCTGCTGGGTATCCTGAACATAAACAAGCAAGGTAATTCCCAATTCCTGAGTTTACAATTGGAGACTGTTAATCTCATGCAACCAAGATGTAGTTAAACACTAAGACAAGGTGGAGCACAAACCCCAAAATCTGGTACTCCAGATCTTTAGAACTGTCAGAACCACTGGAGTGGAGCAGGGAGGGGACACTTAGCAATAAGAATGAGATGAAGATGACTGATGGTCTAGCTGGGATCCTGTGCTTATGTTGGGAAGGGAGCAAAGCAGAGAGGAGGGAAGAGGGAGGACTTGAGAATGGATTAGAGCAGGAAGCTTGCAGCCAGAGAAACACAGAAATGAATTCAGTTGCTGGAGTGAAAGACAGGAGATGACAAGAGATGATGAGATCACAGATTTACTAGCAGGAAATGTGTGGTGAGAAAAGTAGATGGGGATCTCCATGGATCTGTTCACTCTTCCATTGCCTTTTATTACTCTTTAGGTATAAATGTTGTCTAAGAAGCTGCCTATGTATTCTCAATTTTACTTTTCAATCATTTTTATGTTAGGGATTTTTTTTTCTTTTAAACCTATTGATTTCCTTAAGGCATCTTGAAGAAATGTCACAGAGCACATTTCCTCTCAGAAGCAACAGGGAATGTTCTCCAAGCCAGTCTGTGCTGGATCTAGGTGAGAAAGGAACCAGAAGAGATGGATATGGTCCTTTGATACCACAGTAATTTCTGCAGTGACCTTTGTCCTGTTAGATCCTTTAGAGTGGAAATTAAAGAAACAAAAACAAAAAAAGGAGATTCTCAAATGGAAAGTGTTGGAAATCAATTCTCCCTTCTCCTGACCACTGAAAGAGGATGACACAAAAGAGTATGAGGTAAGGAAAGCCTAAAAACTGCATCTTAAGCCTGAGATTTGCCTTACTGGGAGACAAAGATGCTACTACACACCCCAGGGTAAAAAAAAAATAAGATATTGGTAAAATACAAGAGAATAGAATGAAACTGGCAACAAGAGGAAAGAAAAAACCTCAGTGGCTGAATTCAGTGAAAATCTTGGTGTCCTGAAAGAAGAAAAACAGTGCCTGAAGAAAGGAGCCAGTATTTGATGTACCTACACTGGAGGCTGGCTGAGAAGGACCTGGTGAGAAGGACCTGGTGCAGGGACTGCTCACCATGAGCTGCAGTGGACCTGGCTGTATGGGCAAACTGTTGAGGAATATTATGGGAAATTGCTGTATATTCAGGCAAACGGGCACTATATTCCTTACTGAGGGATTACTGTCATAGATACTGAACTTGGAAAAACCCCTGAAGTTTAAGATCTCACTCAGATCTACTGTATAGTGGAACAGCAAATTAGTATTCACAAAAGTCCACGCTACAGCACACAGATTGAGCAGGAACAGATGCAGCCTTGTAAGAAATTTGCTATCACAGCCAGATTCCTGATGAACACATCTGAGGTCCCAGAAAGAGTAAATGCAGACAACACTAGGTATCAGTAAGATTTTAAACAAATATGGTGTCTTTTTAGTGTTCCCAATGGCCATGCAACAACAGAGATCTGTTATCAGAATTTCTGCCTGGAATCTGCTCCAAATCCCTGAGAATTAACAACTTCCCAGAGGGAACCACAGGCAGAAATCCAGCAGTCCAGGAGTGAGAAAGAGCAGGTAACTCCACAAACACCAGCAGTAACAGCTTTTAACAGTTCTGATTGCCAATTTTGGTCAAGACAAACAAGAGCAGGGGGCTGAGGTGGTATTTCCATTAAAGACACGTCCAGGCCTGACAGAACCAGCAGAACAGATGCCTTGTTCTGCCACATCCAGAACATGTCAGGTATTTCTGCATCAACTGGTAGAGCCCCCTCTCCTGAGTGTCCAGCATGCCAAAGCCCTGTGCCCTCACAAACCTTCCACTCTCTTTTTGTGGAGGGGGGGTCGGCCCTTCTTGTTCCTCACGGAGGAGGCCTTGCTGCTGCTGCTGCCGCTGTTCACGGACATCCTGTCGTCCTCGCCGCCCGTCACCAGCGAGTTCCGGTACGAGATCAGCGGCAGCCACACGTCCTCTCTTCTCTCCATCATCTGCTCTGTCAGGAACTTCTCCAAGTAGGTGTGCCTGGAAAGGAAACACAGGGGCTACAGAGGGCAGCAATCTCCCCACAGACACCCGGATGTGGCCGCTGTGTCAGCAGCCAGGCTGCATCAGAGCCACTGCTGCAAGGATGCAGGATGTCCTTTGGCATCCTGGAACAAGAGAAATGGATTAATCAAATGCAGGCATTTATTTTTCCATAAAAAGTTTGAACACCTGCTCCACTGCCATGGAAAGTCCAGTGCACACATGTTAACTGAAAGGAGGAACCAACAACTCCCTCCTGTCTGGAGGGCATAGGAACTGTTTTTCCATTGATTATTTAATTATGGAATCAGAAGTAATCTCTAAAATGAACATGCAAATCTACAGAAATGTGATTCTAATGAGTTTGGCTGCAGAGCCAAACATTCAGAAGTTTGGTAAGAGAACTCAGGTACTTCAGCATCACTTCCTGCACCCCTCAGTCACAATTTCCTTTAACACCACCTTGCCAGGTTGCCAGCAGTGGGAGTCAACTCCACACATTCCCCATGGAAAGGCAGAGGTTTCCTCTGTTAGCTCATGGCAGCTCGGAGTTGTTACCCAGCCCAGCTCCAGAACAGGCCCAGGAGCCACACTGCTCATGGGAGGGTGACATCACATCAGTTTTTTATTCAGTGAATGGCATAACTTTGTTCAAGAAACAGCAGGTTCCTGTCTACTCTTTTATTGAATATTGTCAATGCTTCCTCCTTCCCTTTTCCATGTGTATAACTCCCAAACCTGGCAATGGTAAAGTCTTAGTGTATTCTCTATTTTACAGTACCCAACTGTGCCACTCGAGTGATTCATGGCTTCAGAGAATCTACCTGCAGAAGAGTCTTGGAAAGTAAGAAGTTTTTCTACCTCCAGTTTGTATTTAGAGAACCAGATTGCATGTTTATGGCCAAATTGTGAAGGAGGAAAACAACACCAACTTGGGAGCTCTTTACTGCCTGGATGCCAAACTCGAGACATCTTGTGCTCAGCATTTTGGGGGAGCTTCACACTGGCACTTCCTATCAACTCTGAGCTCAGTGGACTTCACCCATGCCGAGGCTCTACCTGACACCCACAAGTCAGTGTTCAGTCTCAGCCAACTGTGTCTTTGAGAGAAATAAATGGAAATAAGTGCCTCCAAGGACAATCTCCTCTGTTCTGTCCTACATTAGTTCCTCAGGATTTCCCTGCCTCTATCTGCCTTAATGGGTTTGTAACAGAGTGTTAGTACAAATTCTTTTTCTGCAGCTGTATGAGTCTGGCACCTTACATTAACAGTTTTATGTGAAATCCATAGTTTGAATAAATCCATAAATGGCTATCACCACTTCTGAAGGTTACTCATAAAATGAGTAGCCAGATTAATAGGCTAGGGAAACTAAATTAAATCAGGGCTGCATCACTCCCAAACTGGAAGCTTCTCCCTTTTCTAGGCCCAGAGGAAAAGGCCAGCAGCCCAGCAGAAGGAAGCAGAAGCCCTGTGGAATAGCAGTGTGTGCTGCAGCCTGTCAGGAAGGGTGTCCTGGACAGTGCCCTGACACCTGCAGGCCCTCAGGTGGATGATTTGGGGGTTGAGGCAGAGAAGCCAAGCTGGAGAACCTGGGCAGGCAGGCAGCCACGTGTTCCTGAGAGTGTGAGGGCTCCAGAGCACTTCTGGCTGCAGCCAAGAGTCCTTTGCTGAGGCTGGGGAGGGCCTCTGGGCAGGGAGGGAGGGAAGTGATGCTGAACATGAGACTTCTCCAGCAGAGGGTGGTCATGGACCTTCCTGCACACAGGCAGCCCCTGTGGTGGGGGAGAGGTCCCTATGGATTGGAGGAGAAAAGGGAAATTCAGCATCCCCCTCCTGTCCTGTCAGTGGAGCACTCTGGGCAGGAGTGGAGCCACCACATGGAATCCTTACATGTCAGCAAATTGTGCTGACCCTTCTCATGGTCACCACAGCCCGTGGGGTCTGGGGCAGGGCTGAACTCATCCAACACAGCAGGCTGGCACAGATCAGGACCTATTTCTTTTCATGATCATCAGATTCAGCTGAGGTCAATAGCTCAGGTACAGATATTCCACCACAACAATCCTTATACTCCTGCAGGAGCAGCCACTGGTTGTGCATGTGGGCAGGGGAACCTTTGAGAAAGAATTTAAATGGCAACATGGAAGGTGAAGGAACAGAATATCCCAAAGAACTGAATTTCACTCAAAGCTCAGGTTAACAGAAGCTGTCAGGGGCAGCATGATGTAACTTTAAATATCAGACCCTGGAAACTTGTGGAAGGGATGACTCTGCTGAAAGGCTACACTTCACTAAATTCAACAGGAAACAGGCCAGTGGCACTTAGACCAGCACGTGGAGAACCTACAGCTCAGCTAAGAAGACAAGCCATAAAATCCTTTTATCCTTAAGTCCTGTCCTGAGGAAGAGGATAGAGGCTGACGAGATTCCAGGATATAACAATGGAGATGCACAAATGGAGTGCCAAGCCAGCCTAACTGGATCATCCCATTCCCTAGCTCCTTTAACTGTTTGTCCTACAGTGTTCACTGAGTTGAGAAATTATTGATACAACCAAGAAGTGAAATTGTTTCAAGTGTGTACACATTAAAAATTATACAAAGTTAACCAAGCTGCATTTCTTATTGCACAGATGAAGCTGTAATGTTCACAGCTGTTAACCCTAATAGGAAAGTCCTTTAAAAGAAATGTCTTCACAGAAAAACATCTGTCAAACCTTCACAGCAAGGTCTGACAGAAGGAGTCAGTTGAGGCCATTCCAGCTGATTTTTGACTAACACTCAGTGGGGTCACAGAACTGACTTGAAAGGCACCTATAACCATAAATCAACAGATCTGGCAACTGCACTTCTAAACTGGTCATAAAGTTATTCAGTGAATTTAGTTCCACACTGGGCACATAGTGCTTGGCTGATGTTTCACTGGAGTCCTTCCAATATATTAAAAGAAACAACAAATATAGGTTTACAATTTCTGTAAATAAAGACAGAAATGTGTTTCTGCAGTGGTGACAACCAGTAAATTCCCTGCACTGCTAATGTGTAATTTCTTTTCTTCTAGCAAAAAAAAGGACTTTTTATTTTCAATATCCCATGAGAAATTTTAAATAACATTGTTTTGGGAGGTCTCAAACTCATCTCATTAGCGGGTCTGATTTTTCTTTTCCCATTTAGTTTTATTACTTTAAAACACAAAAAGATGAGTAAGTATGTATGTGAAATGTCTCAGGGACTTTCTGCAGCCCTGGTTAGATTGTAGAGACCTCAAAGGAAAGAGCTGGAACCCACAGTGCAGGGATTAACAGAGCCCAGGGAAGAAAACACAGCATTACTTACACAGTCTTTTTGTCCTGTCGCAGGAGTTTGGAAGAAAATTCACTGAGCACTTCCAGGAAAGCAAGGTTAGGAGGTGGATAGTCTTGTCCTTTCTGATTCTGGTACTTGAAGGCAAACTCTATGCCATCTCTACAGTACAGAAATATTAACATGTTCAGACATTTGCAACAAAAACATCAAAAAAAACCCCCAAACCCAAAAAAGCAGAAAAAAAAGCCCAACTCAACACTCAAACAAGTTGCCCTAAATCTGAGCTGTGATGAAACTGTTTGAATCCTCAGGTCCCATCACAATGTAATTCCCCATTAGCAGCAAGCAGCAGCTTTTGGACCAAGGGGAATGCAGAGCTCCCTGTGGATTTGTGAGACACCTTCAGATAAGCACGTGGCCAGTCCCTGTAAGAGGGAACGTGCCCAGTGAGGGAACTGGGCAGAGCAGCCCAGGGCAGGAGCTCCATGGAATGTGTCAGATCAAAGAGGAGCCAACCTCTGCAGCCAGAGCAGAGACCTGAGAGCCCAGAGCAGGGACACGTTCGGTTCTGCTCTGTCACCTGTGACTCTGTCCCTTCCCTCAGCCAGCAAGGCACAGGTGTCCCTGACTCCTGCCTGCCTGAGGACAGTGCCTGGTGCTCCTGACCTGGGGCTGATCTCGGTCTCAAGGACTGAGTCTCTGAGACACCAAACCTTAGCATTTGAATTTTTTATGGCATGACAAAGTCATAATTTAAATTTAGCAGAACCTTTCCATGCTTTTCTATGCAGCAGTTGCATAAAAATTTTCAGTCCACATTAAAAGACTTCCAAAATATTTTCAGAGAATCTTTTCATAACAGCCCTTGGTTCCTCCAGAATCCACAGTGGTGTGGAACAAAGAACCATCCTCAGTTGTTACACATAACCCACCAGAGATAAACATAACCATGCCAATTAATTTCAATAAAGAATTATGTAGCAGCTAGTTTGTTTCCTTTCTACCTACATACATGTAGACCCCTCCAATTAAGCAGAAAAAAATATATAATTATTTCATTGCCTGCTGAGATTATGTATCCTGAGAAAGGAATGCTGAACAAGAGTTTTAATCTGAAGTAGTGTAAAAATCTAGTTTATTTACCACCACTCACTTGTGTAGTGTGGCCACAGCTTCTCTTGTCTTGATCTGATCCAAGCCAAAAGTGAGGGCAAACCGCCGGGCCAGCTCCTTAATGCCACTGACGTGGGCAGATGTCCTGTCCAGGTTGGGACCTTGCTCCTGAACAAGCTCATTGAACAGCTGCAGAGAGAGTTCAGAGGTTGACACCTGTGAGCTGGGAAACTCTTTTATTGAGAAAGACTTGGGTTCTAAACCTGCTCCATCTGAGAATGGCCTTTGTGATGACTGAGACATAACGGAGTCCCTGTCACCTGCCAGATTTTCTTCTGTCCCTCTGCTGTTTGCCAGCTGTCCCCCATCTTGTACTTGTGTGGAGTCATTTTGGTGGAATTCTGCACCCACCCTCCCTGAATTCCATCCATCATTCTCCCAACTCATCAAGAAGGTCCTGCATTCTCGTGCTGTTCCCTTAAGCACCTCCATCACCCATCAGATCTGGTGGTGCTCTGAATTTGGGGACCCAAACTGCAGCTCCTCCACTGTAACCTCAGTGCCTCTTTGCCCAGCACTGCTGCCTCCAAGGCTCTCCCAGCACATATTGAAGTGCTTGATGCTTTTCCAGCCAGTTCCACCTCTCCTGGCACTGCCATTTACACCCCATCTCTCACTGGATGCTGAGAGCAGTGCCAGTGAGGATATTAAACCAGTGCCAGTGGGGATATCAAACCAGTGCCAGTGGGGATATCAAACCAGTGCCAGTGAGGATATTAAATCAGGCTCCATTACAGCCACTGTTTCTCTCATCTCCACAAGCCCTGTTACCATGTAATTAATGACAGCAGCTTAATTGGACAGGATTCCTTCTTGACAAATCCACACTGGTTGCTACCTGTCGCTGAGGCACTTGCAAAGAGCTCTTCTCATTGCTTTTTTCATGGAATTTTGTCAGCCTGACTGATCTGTGGCAGCTGCTTCCTCCTCTCCAAGTTTTACAGACATGGGCTGCTTTGACACTCCCTGATTCTTCTGGAAGTACATCTGTTTTTCTCAGGTTTGCACAGATCTCTCTCAGCTTCCAGATTGCTACAGCAAATCCCTCAGGAAGGGATTTTGGGAGGTCCAGCTCATTTGAAAGCATCTAATTAGCAGAAGTAATTTCCCTGTGCAATGGCTATAGCTGGTACTTCAAGGGCCTAAGTGGTATTTAGTGCACTTTGTGCTGTTGCTTGATAGATTTCATCACCAGGCAGTAATTTATGGGTGATGTAAAGAGAATTTTTCTGGGAAAAAACATGTCTAACAGTATTGGAAGACTTAATTAGCTTGAAATTTGAAAAATTCATCAATATTTAGACAAAGTATAAGGAAGATGCATTACTTCAGCAAATGCTAAGAAGAAAAAGCCATCCTACTTCTTCTTGTTGACTCAGGATCAATAAAAAATGCCATGAATCAGCTTGGACCAAACTGCCTCCAAGGCTCTTCTCTCCCTCCCTTCCATTTTTACCTGCCCAAGCTTTGCCAGTGTGGGCCTATGGAGACAGAGATTACTGAGACACAGGGGCAGTGACAGCCTGAACTGGGCAGCAGGAAAATGAAGAAAATGTCCTAAGGAAGTGCAGCATTTCTGCTTCCCTGTAAAGTGTATCAGAGGAAATCCTGGCCAGGGCTTTTTGCAATGAGGCATTTCTAACCAAAAAATCAATGCTCTTACCTGTTGCAAACTGAGAATGAGTGTCTTTGCACACTGGATTTTGTCAATTTGCCTGGTTTTGCTCAGGGTTTCCTTAATGATATCTCCGTAGTCATTGTAGTACTAAGAACAAATGGGAAAAAAAATCAAAACCTTTAAATCAAATTTCTTATGCAATTTCTTACAGATTTCCCAAGAGAAAGATTACTTGTAATTCTTGATTTGAAAAGGCAGCAGTTGCTAAAATCCAGATTTTTGGTGTGAGCAGGGGCAGCGTTTCAGTATCAAAATTTAAACCAAACCCTGTGATAAGGTAGGGAACTTCTGTGTTTATTATTTTTTGTAACAAACATGTTGAAAACCAAACAAAAGAGCATTTCCTGCCCCAAACTAAGCACTTGATGAAGGTGACCCATGGCTGCCAATTCCAAGCAACAGCATGACATTGATCCAACACCCCTAAGAAGCAGGTGTGAACAGACACCAGCACAGAGGTGTGTGCTCCTTATACACTGGGGGGAAAGGAATTCACTAAAGCCAAAAAGTGGAGTAAGGATTGATTCAGCATGGAGTGCTGTTTCTCTTTCTGTTAACAGAAAGGTTGCTGAAAGCCACAGTGGTGCTGCCCATCTGGGTAGAAGAGCTGTATTATCATTACAAATTCCAAGTTGAGATAAATTTTTTGTCCAACAGTATTCTTTCAGCCTCACTGATGTTTCTACATTTGCAGTCACTTATTTTCATTCCCTCTACAATACTGCTTTTGCCTTCTTTGGTACTAATTTAAATTAAATTTCTCTCCCTCTCCCCCAGTCTTAAGAAAAGGAAGGGTGTGGGGAGAGGAGAAGCCCAACCTAGAGCAGCAGGGAGGGAACTCACCTGGATGGTGACAGCTTCAGTTTCCAACTCCCACTCTGGCAAACAACCCCTAAGCAAGACTAACCCTGACTGATGGCTACCGTGTGTCCTGGGAACTTTACTGTGCTGTGTGTGCCTGATGAACAGGAGAATTTCAAGTTAAACCCTTTATGTTTCACATCAACATCTCAAACAGTGTCTAGAATAAAGGATCTGCTGGATTGTCACCTCTGTGATGACAATCCCCTGCAGGGACAGGAGGGACAGGACCTGAGGGGTCAGTGGCAGGACTGATGTGCCTGTTCTGGCAGGTGAACCCCATGCACAGGGGCAGCAGGAGCTCAGGTCCTTCTGACCCCCACTGGGCCTAAAAGCTCTGTGGAAGCAGCCAAAGCTGAGAAGACACTCAGTCACCACAGACCCACTTACAGCACAACCACACAGAGCTTTTTGTTCCTGCTGTCCTGTTTAAAGCAACCTCCTCTGACAAGAACCCTGCTGCCTCAGGGCAAGCACCAAGCCTGGGACACTGACAGTGGAACATGGCATGGAACAGGCAAAACTTCCTGGGGATTCTAGAGATGGATCTGAGGAAAAGGGGAAGAAACTCTCTGTAGAGTGGAGCCTCTCTGGAAATGCTCAGCACCTCAGGGGCAGCTTTAGGTGCTGCCCTAAACAAAGCACATGTGCTCCAAGGAGGGGGAGGTCAGAGCTCGCTGCTGCTCAGTGCCAGGTGTTGTGTAGAAAGGAGAAAGTACCACACAGGATCAAATAAAGCTGAAAAAGCTTTCAGGAGTGTTTGGGCTGTAACACATCCCTGGCAGGGCTGGCAGAAGCCCTAACACTGCAGACTGGGCTCAGTCAGGACAGGAGGATGCAGGGCCTGTACCTTCATATAGTGTTTGAAGATATCTGCTGCTGCATGCATGTCCACAATGTCATAAATTATCAGCTTGCTAAAGGCAGCCAGAAGGTTTCTTCTCTTATGTAAAGCTTCTATTTTGTTGGCTTCATCTTCTTCATCTCCCTCTGAAAGCATCATCAGAATCTTTGTAAGTAACTGTTAAGTTCTAAAACAACATTATCAAAGGGGAGCTTTTAGAAAAAAATCAATTCTTGAAGCAAGAAGGATTGTTGGAGAAGAAGCTAAAATGAAAGGTGCTAAGTCTTGAGTCCTGCCTACTTGGAAACTTCCAGGGAAGTTTAGGAACATGACACACCAGTGACCAAGGCTGTTCTCCATAATCCTGAGGAGATCCTGGATATAATCCACATCAAACTGAGTCATTTATTTCCTATAGCCTGTGAAAGGCCACAGTGAACTCTAGCGAATGCTCTTGCTTAACTTCTCAAACACAGGACATTCACAGAGGCTCCATTAACATGACCAAGCTATAAATATTTAACAAAAGAAAAATCAGAAGCACCAGTACTTCTGCATGCCTTAGATTTTCAGATGTGAAATCAATGCTCTGAACAAAAGAAGTAAAATCCAGTTGTAAGAAGCATTAACATTGAATGCAATGCCATAAATATTAAGTTCCTATGCAATAGGGACTTAAATGCTATAAATATTAAGTCCCTATTTACTCTGTGAATGAAAAATAAACTACAAAGATAAAATCTTAAATATAGTTATTATATAATAAAAGCATATTCCACAACTTGCATAAGAAATTTCAGAGTAGTGACCTTCCAAAAATAAAGTAGGAATACTTCTGAAAACATGTGAACAAACTGATCAGAAAATTCTATTTTCTCGTTTCTTCTGTGTCTGGTATGAAAAAAAAGCTAAACATACCCATGCTCTGATTTTCATCATCTTGGTCAATAAACACATGATCCATGACAAAACTGAGAAGTTCTGACTGGAGGCCTGAGTCTGGATTGAACACCAAAGGCTGGAGCCCTTCTCGACCTCCTGTCATCAGCTGGTGACTAAAAATCATCAGGAGATCACAGAGCAGCATGAAAGCCTGCAAGGCAGAAGAGAATGAATGCAGTGAAAAGTCAAGAAAGGCAAACATAAGGTACCATTGATCTAATTTCCAGATATCCCCTGCTACTATTAAACAGCTTCTTAAACTGTTCTCAGGTGGAGCTGTTTATGTGCTGTGGAAAGTATTCCATTATGGTTTCCTCTGCTTTGGAATGCTGTGCCCTTGGTTCCTAGGTCAGCAACTGTGGTTATTGCCTTCTCCTTGTCCCACATGACCCATCTTAAACTTCCATTTCTTCTCTAGGAAAAGAACTCTAAATCTACCTCTGATCCAAGGCCTGCAGCAAAACTTGTTGTAAAGAGAGCACACCCCTTTTGATAAACAGTCAAAAAAATCAAACAAGTAAAAACATGAACAACACCAAGGGAAAATTCAAGCTGAGTCACTGTCAGACCCCAAAAATACAGACAAACAGCCACAGCAAGGAAATTTTTGCAGGATTTCATCAAAAGCTCTTGCAAAAAAAGAACCAAGATTGTCTGCAGTTTTCAAATCCAGACAAAAACCAACCTGGGCAGAATTGTCCATGATTTATGCTCATTACTATTATACCTCATTACATGAGACAGGAAAGAAGGCAGCTGTCACTACCTTCCTTCCTTCCAAGGGCTCATTCCTGCATGACAATTACACTGTTTTGCCCCCACATGGCTTCTGCTGGTGTCTCACAGCCCATTTGATCACATTCAGCACCTTCCCAAAGCCTTTTTATTCATAGCTTCTCTATTTTTAACCTCAGGTTCTGAAAATTTTACAAATTTCCAAAATAAAATCTGTAAATGCTGAACTTCCTAGTGGCTCCCTTATTTCTGGGAGTATGTTATAAAATCTGAATGAGCTACACTCAGGCAAGAACAGATGCAAATCCTTGTAAACTATGTTCTGTTTAGGAACAGATGTTGCTATTTGGGATTTTTCTCCCTTTGATCCAAAAGGCTGTGATTCATTCCAGTGATGATCTCACCTGCTCTAAACTCCCCTGATACTCAATAGAACTGAAGCTCTTCCTAATGCAGACCTCTAAAAAAGAGCAGATGAGTAATGCACTGCTGGTGCTGAGTTCTGTCCAATATAAAGGATGCAGTGGGCTCAGTCACAGGATATTTATTTCCCTCAAACACTCATGGAAAAGTTTAAATGTTTCAGTCTTGTTTCTCTAAATACTTCATACATTTTTCCTTCCTTTGATATGGACATCAACTTTGTCTGGAAAGAATGTCTGGAGCAAGGATCAAGTATGGTAGGGAGACAATTTGCACATAATTCTCAAAAAAAAAAATCCAGTAAAACAAAAGCAGTAAGCAGCAGTCCTGCACTCAGAGAAATATACTTTTCAAGGAAGAAAACAAAAGCAAGTCATAGAAGAGCCAGCTGGAATGGGTCACTGGAGTCTCCAGCTACTCTGCCCACGACGCTTGCTCTCTCTGGGCCTGCCTGGGTGTGGGTTTGCCCGGTTGAGGCTTGAAAACTTCCCCACAACTGGGAACTGCAAAGTAGCTTCTAAAGAAAGTTTAAATTATCAATGAAAAAACCATTGTGGCCACTGGCAAGAAGAGAACAACCCCATGTTTATACACCTCAAGAGCAAACCCACAGCAGGGATGGGAAGGAACATTTGCCATTTGCTGAGGCAGGAAGGATGGCAAGTCTAGCTCGAGCTGGAAGGGAGGTATTTGCATGGAGCTAGAAGATATTTTCACATTATACAATATTAATATAATATGCCAAGAGTAACTACTCTGAATATTAAAAAACAATTACTAAAGTAAAATCTGCTGGAAGCCAATGACACACTAATCTTTTAGAACTACATAAACTACTGACATCTCTGAGCATTTAATGTTTATATTTAGCAACCTGAAGAACAGAGAGTAAATGCTAAGCAGAGCTATCTTTCAAAGAAATAAAAGTGTCTTTTAAGAAGTATTATCTTCTAAATACCACAGGCAAAAAACCCAGGCCAGTTATTAGTTACACTCTGCCAAATCTGGGGAGGTCTGATAGAAATGCCATTTGTAGACAAATGTCATTGACATAAATCAGTGTATATTCACATAACCTCAGCTAACAAACCAGCTACTGTGTCCTGCAGAGACAGATTTAATTATTTCAACAAACCCTTTGATTCCATAGGAAAAAATCCCAAAACATTCAGCCCATTTGAGGTCTCAGTCACCCTCCAGCAGTGCCTATTGCCTTCTAAACAGAAATGCCAGGTGCCTTTTAATGCAGTGTCTGCAGGAAAAGTCTCTCATCTGAGGTGACTGCGTTGGATGCCTGAAGTCACGAGGGCTGGAAATGAGCCTGAGCATCCAGGTAATCCTTACTCACTGCTAATGAAAAGTTAACTTGTCATCACCTGTGCTTTGCAAGTTCTGTTAACACAGCTGCTCTTCTGGGCTGCTTGTTCAGGTTTATTTAGACAGCAGCACAGATTATTTTACCTTAAGTTTGATGTAGTGTTGTCTTGAGTTTTACTAGAATTTAATACTCACACTTTTATAAAAGTCAGATTTTTCCTTTACCTGTTCTTTGACTGGAGTGTTGACATTTGATAGACACTGCTGGCAGACAGCCAGGAAGGATTTCACAGTTTTCCTCAATACCAACAAGTCCTCCTGGAATAAAGATTAAAAAAGAAAGCATATAAAAATTAGTAAGAAGTTTCTCAGAGGAAGCAAAATAAAGAAATGGTGGCAATTTCATACATTCTACAAAAAGCTGTGAAAGAAATAAGCTATTCAAAAAGAACACACAGAGAAACAGTCCCTTGGTTTTACAGTGATGATGAACCAATCACCAAGAAGAAAAGAGGAACCCCAAATGAAATGAAACGAGATGAATTCACAGCAGGATGGCTGGGCCCTGCTCTGCAGACCTTCCCCCAGGACAGCCCTCTCAAGAGGCAATGTCCTGCAGAACAACCTCCAAGCAATGTCAAGAACCTCCATGAAGCCCATGCAATGTTTTCCTTGCTGAAATGTTTTACTGATGCTGTTCAGCCCATGTGTCTCAGTTCTGGTTTTAGCTTCTCTTGTGCTTCCTGCCACGAGCTCTCGTCGTTCTGTGTTTACTGCAGAGCCTTTTTGTGGTCCATATGTTCTCCCAGTGCTGGTTCACAGCACAACACAGGACTGCCAGTGTGCCCAGCACCCAGAGTGTTCCCAAAGCTCTGAATTTCTCATCACTTCCAATGGAGTGAGTGGGATTTGCTGATATGGACACTCAAGGTCTGTGCACTCTCTCACCTTCCTATTCCTGAGCAGTTTTTCTCTGATGATGCAGCCATGGTGCCACTGCATTACCCTGCCATTACAGAATCTGCAAGACAGTTCTGCTCTCTTCTAATCCACAACTTGCCATTAATCACCCCTCTTTATTTCCTGAATATAAACCTTCCATTTGGCAGCATTAAGATGCTTCTTTTCAAAAATTTTAAATTGTGTTTTGTTTACTAATTGATCTATATCATCCCCATTTTCAGGGCCTTTCCAGATGACTGATAAAAATGACCCTTTTATTAGGAGAGAATAGATCTCTGCCAGAATGCATCAGAAACTATTCCATTGTGCAAGGATTGCTCACTTACAATTTTTCTTTGATATATGGATCAGTTTTGAGCTACTGAATATGAGTTACATTAAATCCAAACATGCACCTAAAATGCAGTGTGGCATTAATGTCTTAGAGACACTGGTGTTTCAACTGATTTTCTTCTCAGTCAAAAAGGCAATCTTGTCAATAAGAAATTGATGCATTTCTTCCAATCTCAGCTGTTGGCCCTTCAGCCTTGTACCAATTGTGTTCTCTATCCCTCACTCCAAGACTCTACCCAGGACTGATGCCAGGCTTATCAGTTCCCTGTTACACAATCACCTGATTTACCCCTTTAAGCACTGGGATTACAATCACCTTCCTGCTTTCTACTTTCTATTGCAATTGCCTTCCATTTAGATGTTCATGAATTCAACAGAGAAACTAAAACCTATGAAAAAACCTACATACAGGTTAAAAAGGGAATGAGTGTGTCTCCCATTTTTCTTTCTGTCAGAGTGACCAACAAGCAGGTACATGGTATTTATTACCCTCTCTCCTGACAGCATAGCATGATAGAGATTCATATTGCAAAGTTAGACATAGCAGGAGAAAGCCCAGCTGAACAGTGCCATGGAACCATCTGGAACTCTTCTGAGCATGGAGAAATCCCCAGACTACTGAAGAATGGGAATTTTTTTCAACAGAGAAAATGAGGAAAAAAAAAAAAAAAAAAAAAGAATTAGATTTTCAAGTCTTTGAGCATTCTGGGGTGCACAGCCCAGGCTGTTGAGGTGTGAGTACCTGATCTGCCTTCAGCAGAGAAGCTGATATGAAACCATTTAATCATTCTGTTAGGCAAAACCATGGGGCCACAGCTCTGCAATTGAACTTTCAGATTTTAGACACCAGGATGACTGCACAGGACACCCTCCTCTCCACAGGCTAGCTTGAAGAAGTGTTTCAAAATAACTCTGCCCCAGTATTTAACTGGTAAAATCTTTATTGTTGGGCAGAGAATTTGGACTTTCTTAATAATTCAAATAATCATTATCACCCTCCTGCTAAAATGTCTTTGATTCATTTTTATGCTGATAAGACTCCCTTTGGCTCTATTTACAGATGATATTGAACAGTGAGGGGCTGGTAACAGCCTGGAGAAACAAGAGCTCTTTGTGTGTATCTTGGGGAGGAGACTTCAGTAACCTGTGACTAGCTGAAGGGCAAGTTTGGAATTTGTAGGTGTTCATTAACATTACAGAAGTGTCCAATATTCTGGTCCTGTATTCTGTAGAGCTGATAGTTGTCCTGGAGCTGTGTGGCACTGGCTGTAGGTCAATTATGTGCTGTTAATAAATCAATGAGCTGACTTGATCCTAATTAGATTTAAACCACAAGAGTTGAGTTTTTCCCTGCCACACATGGAGGCTTCAGTCCAAACCAGCTGGATCAGGTAGAGAGCCATGATCCAGCACATGCCCAGCAGCTGGAATATGAGGTATCCCTCAGCAGCAATTTATGTGCCTTGGCTTGGCCATACTGCCCAGGACAGCTCCCAAACAAGGGCAGCTCTCTCAGGACAGAGCTGTATTTTGGATGCCATTTGAACACCAGACAAAAAATAATTTCATTCCAAAATGACTCTGTTCCCAGTGTATGCCTGTGGTTGTCAAGTATGACTCCACCACAGAATCAATACGAGATACAAAAATTACCAAGCAATTCTGAACTGCAGCCAAAAAATTCACTTTGAAGGAAACCTTGCCAGAATTCCCCATCCCACCTGCAAACTCCCTGCAATAAAAGGTGCACCTGATGGATGCAAAGCACACATGAAATAACAAATGTAAAACTTGCCAAGATACTTGTACTTGTTTCCATCTTTTATTCCTGTACTTACAACTCCAAAATGTTCATGTACTTCATCCTGTGCATTGACTGCCTAAATGGGACCTCATGAGGTGAAACAGAGCAGCTACTACTGCCAGCATGAGGTCACACAAATGACCCAGCTGGCAGCAGATGAACATTTCTTACAAATGAATCCCTCCATCTCTGATCTCTCAGCCTGACTGTTCAAGGGAAAGCTAAAAGATCATCTTTGGAACATGAGCCTGGGAACAAAAATTCATAAATCTACAGGATATAGAAAAATAAAGACTTAAGATTAGTTTTATGACATATTATAAATTCTCTTCTCTCCATTTTCATCTTTTATCTTCCTTCCCCACTAATTCTCCTCCTAACTCTGTTGCTGCCTCTCCTCTCCTCTACAGGTACCAAGGACCTTTTCCTTCCCTGTCAGAGTTTACCTGATTTGTATCTAAACAGAAACCAAGCAATTGCTTTCAGCTGCTCTTTTGCTTTGTAATCTTCTGTTTTTGATCTCAAACCTGAAAGGCTTGTGAGCCCAAAAGCCTCTCTACTTCTGGCAGCTACACATCATCACCCCTCTCTGCCCTGAGACCATTCTAGAAACAGCAAAGTAGCCCTAGAAACCTGCAGGGACCTACATGTTAAACTGCTGTGCCAGAAATGTTGCTGTAAAAGCCTGAATACTTCAAAAACACCCATGAAATAAATGCTTTTAATTCTGAGATGCTTCTGTTAATGCCTTTGTCTACCTAAACCGTACAAGTTTAGGTAGAAAAAGGTGCCCTTTAATGTCTACCAATTTCCAAGCCTAAATAATGACTTCTAAACCAGCCATGGGCAAAATGGTTTCCCAATGGATGAAATGCCAGATACAGTGCAGATCAGATCTATTTTCACAGTGAACAAACTAGAATGGGAACTTTGATAGCAAAATGCTCCAGCCACAGCAGGTCTGTGGTTGTCTCTTTGCCCTCAGCTGAGGCTGCTGCCACTCTGAAGAGCTGCAGGGCACTAATGCTGGGCTTCCCTGGGACTAAGCATGCACAAAACTAATTTTGTAGAGACTGGGGTGGAACCCCAAACAAGAAATTGCTAGGAGTTCTCTAGGTGATACTAATTATGATTTTCATGGGGCAAAGCCAAACTGACTTCTATTTGGCATGGCCATTCTGGAGTGACCCTTTGGAGGTCTTGTAGCACTTCAATATAACATCTTTACCTTTCTGATGCTGATGGAGAAGTACAATTATTACTTCAGTTTTCATGTCATTTTAATTTGATGTATTATTTTTGAATAAGCTCTGAAAAAACAGGATGCTGGCCTCTGACTGAGAAAAGAGCTAAGGAAAGGTCCTGGAAAAGTCACATGTCACCTTGTCCTGACCATACTTTGTGTGCATTTTCTTTTTAATAGCAATTGGTACTTCCTGTGCCTGCCATTTCTATTGCAACATAAAGGCTGTAATTAGAGAGTAAGCAAAGAAACTTATCACATCAAGATTAAGGTATCTGTGGTCTACAGATCAACAGTATTGCTCACAACTGTTCATGTCAACATTCCTTATCAGCCATGCAAACTGCAGCCCTCACAATAAAGTGTGTTAATTATCCTCAGCAATAAAAATATAATAATCAGCTGCTATAAAATCCTGATAAAAACTATTTACATTGCTTAGACATATGCATGATGTTAAATAGATCCTGAAACACGGAACAAATCTGCACATCAACATTTTATATGTTATAAATGACAACAAACGATGGCAAGAATGGAAGTTACAAAGAAATCAGGTGTAACACCTTTGCTGGTAAGTTGTGTCCTGTCAGTAAAATCTGTTTGATCAAATGGCCACTTACTTTGGAAGGGGAGCCCTCAGTGATTTTCACCAGCTGCCATAGAATAGAGTAGTGGGAGCACTGCAGTGCCTGGACAACAATCTGTAACACAAGAACACACAGAATCTCAGCACGCTGCCAACAGCAGGCACAGCAGGAAGTGTATGGAAAATCTATCAGGCATTCTGTGCTGAAAAGACAGGAGCAGCTCTCAGCACTTTTTATTTTCAAGGGTATCAAGTTTTCCCTTGGTTGGCTTGGTGCAATAAGAAATCAGCCTACTAGAAGCAAAAAAATACTGTGTAAATGCTGGGAAACACCAGAAATCTGCACTGGGATACAGTAGGAGGGGATGTCACAGTGTGACAGAAGTACAACCCAACACCTACACCTCTCAGATCAAAAGCATCTGTTGAAATATCTCTATACCTGGCTTCACTATTAAACAGCATGGAAATCTGTTCCACTGGCAAATGAACATGTAGCCCAAGTGCTAAAAAAAGGGAGAAAATACAACTTGTCCCATGGAGAAGACCAGGGTCATATCCCTGGTGCCCAGAAAAGCATCCATGGTGTCTCCTGAACAGTCCAAATCCAGAGGAGGTGCTGCAACCGCCAAACTCCTCAGGGTGGCCTGCAGGAAGAAATACTGAGCAGAGCTCACATTTCAGGACCTTTCCCCTAAAATCTTATGGAGGCATCTGGAGAGCCACACACTGTCAGACAGACCCAGAAACTGAGGATGGCTGGCAGCTGCATGGACAGGCTTCACCTGTCAGCCCTGTCCCTCCAGGTAGCACAACTCCAGCATGAAGCAGCAAGTGCAGAGACAGGACTTTCACACACTGTGTGGCAATGCCTCCTCTTAGGGTCCTTTCTATGAAATTCTAATTCAGAATTTCATGAGAATTTCTTTTTTCCAAATGAAGCTGAGTTAGAATTAACAACTGGCTTCTAACTGAAACCAAATAAAAACTTAAAATGTTTAAATGCTGCAGTAGGAATTCTGCAGTTTAAACAGGACTCATGGTAGAATATGAGATGGTTCCTGTGCTCATCCATGAGAAACAAAAACTCAGCTCTGAGGAAACAAGGTCCAAGATGTGTTCACTAAAAGAACTCCACTAGGATGTTTTAGTTTCCTGGTTTTCCTAAGCTTTCATCTTACCTTCCATGCACAATAATCATTTGTGATAATTCTAATTACAGCCAAGGCTTACAATGTTGGGTTTCAGTGTAAACATCAGGAGTGATGCACTGCTTTTCAGAGTCAGAACATCAGCTGTTCCCAACTTTACAAATGAGAAAGGTGAGGGAAGGAGCTCAAAAATCACACATGGAACTTTTGAATTTCTATACAAACAGATTCCTTAGAACCTCAGACACCTCAGTGATGCAGTGTAGGTGCTGTTAAGGGTACCTGTTCTGGCATAGCTCCATGTTCAATTCCAGTTCTCAGCAGTCTGTAGCAGTTACTGAACAGATCCCATTTGGTCAGATCATGAGCACTGGAACGAGAGCAAATCAAGAGGGATTAGTTGTGTTCCTCAGAACCCCCAGCCCAGAGAGCTTTGGTGGTTTCCACAGCTGAGCACAGCAGCTGCACAGCAGCTCACTCCCTGCTAAAAGCACAAGTCAGGCTTTCTGACAATCCAGGAAAAATGTTTTACTATATGGGATTTTTTTAGGGAGCAGATAAACTCTCTCCATACCATACACCTATAAAGGCTACTTAAGCATAGTAGCCTTTCTCTCTCTGAGTTATTTTTCCTCTTTTGGAAACATTGACAGAACTCCAGAAAACCCTTCCCTGGCATTGCAGTAGAAACTACAGCCAAGGTCTATCAATATCTACTGAATAAAAATGGCTTTAAGCAAAACAAAGTTGTATATTTTTCTACTGTCTCATTTGGAAAAAAATAATACACATGACCACTAGATATAAATACCCTGAATATCTGAAGTGAGACCATATGATAACACATGGATAGAGATGGTGGCAACATTTCAGTTGCACCAACCTGAGTTCATCAGTGAGAGGAATAAGAATGACATTAGGGACAAATACTCTGTAAGGCTGTAGCCTTACAGACCTCAACAGCTCATGAAATGGCTTGTTAATAGAGAAGTGAGAAATACAGCAGAAGCTGAAAAACATCAGGTTGCCTGAAAGACAAAAATACTCTCTCAGCAAGTAAATTTAGGTTTAAAACATTTTTCTGCAGGGAAAATAAACTGAGATAACTTGAAACAGTTTATAATTTGTCTATAAAAGAGCAAGCCAGCTCAGAATAATCAGAAACTTGCTGATTGAAGTGCTCACCTGGAAGGAGGGATTCTGAGACTGAACTGGGAGTCTCAACTGGATGCAGCAGCCTCTTGCACCTGGATCACCCAGCCAAGCTCACTCCTCCCACCCCTGTGCCTGCCCTGGGTCAAACCATTAACTGCCCTGCTCAGCCAGAAGGAAAAACCCCCCAGTTCCAAAAGGGACAGAGGCTGAACTCAGCACTGGCAATGCCCAGGTCCTGCCATGAAACACCTCCCACGCTGGAGCAAGACAGCCCTGGAAAATGACACTGGTAAGAGCTTCACAGAAAGCCATCAGAGTGCCCTGTGCACTCCAGGGCTGGGCCAGTAAAGCCAAGGTCCACCTTAACTCCCAGTTCAAATCCACAAAGAGAAAAACAGGAAAACTTAAAAAAATACTGGAACTAAAAATGCAAAAAGTATAAAAAATATTTTGTGGACTTAGATGGTCTTTGAGGTACTAAAATAAAATGTTTCATAGATAAATTAGAGGCTGCCAGAGAGCTGCCTCTGACTGGAGATATTAAGCACAGAGATGCTGCTTCCATAAATCACAGGGTTGCCAGCAAGGCAGAGTGGTACTTCCTTAATTACAGCACTGTAATTAAAGCAGTAAAGTCTCCTTGGTGTGCAGAGGCAGATACCTGCACAGATTATCCTACAGAGAATATCAAAGGAAAAACTGTCTCATTCCTGCCTTTTCAGTTCAGAAATTCCCCATCAGGCAGCCAGCACAGGGGCCATGTCCTCACAGCTGGGGACAGTCGGCTCCCTGCCCTCTGCCTTACAGCTGAGCTCAGGAAGGGCTCTTCAGCTTCCAGAGCTGAAAAATTCTAATGATGTACAACTGACACACAGCCTTTCAACTGAAACTCCCTTAAAGCAGAGCCTCCACATTACAGTTAGGCATATTCTGGTACCTCTTTATCTCTTTTGAGCTACTTAGCCATCAAAACCATAGTTATAAAGGCATCTTGGACACCACACAATTCTCCACAAAGGTTTAGGAAGAAAATTCACACAACACAGAATTTTCCCTTAGTTCCTTCCATGTCAGACTATTCATGGATTTCAGAAAACAAGTTCCAGTATTTCATCCAAGGTTTCTTTTAATTTTTAGGGACAGCCCTGTCTGCTGGAGCACATTTTTGCCAGACAAGAGGCAGGTGAAGTAAAGGTACCAGTTTCATGGTGTTTCTCAAATGTGGCATAAAACAGCTTAGGAAAGTTTCTTTTCCAAGAAGTGACCTTTCCACCCACCAAATTGCTTCACTTCTTCAAGATGCACAAAGAGAGGGAAGCTGTACCATGGGCTCCGAGCAGCTGTGCTACTGACACAGTCTAATTTCTCTAATGAGGTTTCATTTAGCATCACTCCCACACTGTGATGAGGAAGAAATGATTTGTGGCTCTCTGCCACCTGCACATGAAGCTTTCTCTCATGCTGACAGGAGCAAGTGCTTCCTGCAGTTAGAGGGAAGACCAGGCCTTTGTGCTGTGCTCCGGAATTCACAGTTCCACTGAAGTTCTCCAGGTTGCTCTGCACATGCTGAGGATGCCCATAGGTCTGAGAGCAGCAGGAACCTGAAAAGCTGATTTGTGCCTGGTGAGGGAGATTCTGTGCAATCCACAAAGGAAAATTTGGCCAACAATTCAACTGTAGGAAGAAAACGCATCTTCCAGGCTCCCACCATAAACTATTAATTATTATCTTAACTACTATTAATTAATTCTATAATTTTGAGAAGTAGCTCAAAGGCATTGAGAAACAGCTTCCTGTAGGCTCCCCAAGCTGAGGCCCAAAGCACAGGCTTGTGGCAGACAAGTGTCCCTTGTGCCCTGACTGGGCCATGCAGGGGAGCAGGACCTGTAGTAATTTACTCATGGGTGTAAGAGCACTGGGTGCAAAAGAGGAGGTGCCACTTGCAAATCCCATCTGCAAAGGTCATGGCACAAACTGAGCAAGGACCAGATCAACCCAAACACTTCCACTGACAAACTCCACCAGTCTCTCCTCCATCTCCACTTCAGATTTCAGGTCATGTGGTTTCTCATTTCCCCACACCTGACACTGCTGATACTTGCTGAAATGATAAAATTAACATCACAAACTTGTGAGGGAAGACACCACCTACTTGTGAAAAGATGTCAACCTCTTCAGTGTGGAGAGCACATTGTATATGTCATCATCATCAGCTTCTTCTCCCTGCAAAGGAAAGGCAATCCATGAGGAGAATCCAGCAATTCAGCCCAGTACATTACTGCACAGGCAGGAGCAGCTTCTCAGGGGTTTATACTGATATCAAAACTGTCTCCAAAATTTCCAGTGACTTTTATGTAGATTCCATAATATTTAAGTAGCCACTGAACAGCACTAAAAAACAAGCAAGATCATCTGACAATATTCAGCATTATCACTGTGGTAATATCCAAACCTGTATCCTTTAGCAATACAAATCATTCCCAAGACCAAAATCTGAGTTCTATCTTATTTTATAAAAAGGACTGAGCCACCAGCTTTAATCATCATGATGAACACGCTACAACACAATTTTAGAATTTTCTGTAAACTAAACAGCAAATTCCCTTAGTGAATCAAGTGAAAATAAGGTATTTCCAGCAATTTTCCCAGCAATTTTCTAAAATAGGAAACCCACTTGCAGCAATTCTTCTTCTCCATCTCACTGTGATAATTTCTTTTCCATCTAAAAACCTAGCAATTAAAACATCTTCCTGCCTTCAGATGCAATTGTCAATCAGTGTTTCTCTCATTATCAGCCCAGATAATTGCTTAGGCACCAGTATGCAATTTTTAAAATTTAAAATGTCTTTAAAATGACGAAATAGACTTATTAAAATAAATTATTCAAACAAATATCACTTTAAAAAGAGTATCACAAAGGCCATAATTTTAAATCCTTGCTACTGCTGTTCTCATTCCTCCAGGTTTCAGACCTGTATCTTTTACTCTTTCCAGGGCTCTTTCAATATGCCATTATACATATTTTCTTAAATCCTCTCTTCTATTCAAAGCATAATCCAATCTTGATTTTGCTGCCTACATATGCATCTGGGACTATGGGAATCACTAAAAACATTAATGTAGATACAACTTCCTCTGCACTTTTCATCATCTTTCACCCATTCATCCACTTAATTCCTTATGTGGACTGTTTTAGTACTCAACTAAATTTTCAGAAGCAGGATTGTCCCACAGTCTTGTTTTACACCACCAATGATTTGAAGGCTTAATGGCTACTGTAAAGGACTTTCCACAGGGAGAAGTGGCTCCAAATAATTATGAAATAGCTGCTGCTGCACTGCATCTTCAGATGGGTCATTTCATGGCTTGCTAAGAATGTTTTTCTGTAGCTTTTCCTACCATATTTTAGGCAGTTCAACAATTTTAAGAAAACAAACCTCCTGCAGTAGATCCTCGACAGAATGGTTGAATCGATCCACAAATTCATCAATAAGTTGGCTGTGGGCTATGTCAACTCTGTTCTGGATGGTGTATTCCTCACTGCAGAGGATGCTGTAGGTTTTGCTGCAGGCTTCCAAAACATCTGATTCCACATGCTTTTCCACAACAAACTTAATCTGCTTCAGTAAGGCATCCAGATGCTGCAGAGCAGAAAAGAACTTCAGCTCTCCCTCAAAGGGACAATGCCACTGAGCAAAGCCACTGCCAGAACACCCACCCAAGGCTGCATTGCTCACGTGCCAAACAAAGGCACAGCACTGTGGGGCTGAACAGGGGTCACACCTGAGAGCAGCCACACCTCCTGCCCAAGGCACAATACCTTTTCCATTCTGCCTGTGCTGTAGATTTCCAGGTCAAAGTACTGAGGGATCTGCAGGAGGTTTGCAACCTTCTCGGCGTCAGCGGAATACTGGAGCATCATGGCAACAAAACAAACAACAGGGAAGTAAAAATAAACTCCTGCACTGCAGAATGAGAAAGTTTAAAGACAGCTGTAAATCCCAGTGAAAGATTATTTTGTTGAAAACTGTACCTTCGATAGCAGCATGGGAAGTGCAATAATGAAATGCTCAGTCAATTTATTTCTGTCGTCTATCTGAGTTTTTCTTTCTTTTGCTGTCAAGACCTAGAAGTGATCAAACATAACTACAGTAAATACATTTTCTGCATATAGCATTCATTAACTTTCTAAACATTGTATTACAAACAAAAACCCATGCAAGTGTATTTTTTAATAAATCAAACAAGGAGGGAATAAAAAACTCAAAACACATTTCGGTTGAAGAGTGATTAAAGAGTGTGTCCTAAGCAACTATGATTGAAAAGGAAAATACTCTATCACCCAGAATGACATTGTCTCCACACATTAACATCTTTTTAGGATTGAAATTCAAACATAATCCCAGTCAGTGGAATTTTTGCTATTGCTTCCAACTGTACTGAACTCTGGCTTTCACACATTAAACCAAGCATTAATGTAAGACCTCAGGGCAAACTGAAGTATAATTAAGAAAACCAAAACCAAACCACACTGTAACAATGATTTTCATTAGCAGATTCATGGTCTCCTCTCTAAATGGAATGGAATTCTCAGTGAGAACGTACATCCAAGTTCACAGCGAGGTACTGAAGCACTAATGCTGTCAGAACAAAACCCCCTTGAACAGAGAGACAATACTCAAACCAGCATGCTTTATCAAAGCTTACATCTGGCTTCCTGGCTTCAGCAAAGAAATGAATACTTTTGAGAACAAACAATGATAATAAAATACAAGTTAGCTAATGATTCACATGTAGCCAATCAGCCAGACTGCACAGTAAGGGTTACAAGCTAAAGTCAGAGGAGAAACTATTTCACAAGAAGGTGAGTGCTTAATTAGAAATCTGTTCCCTTTCACTCAGAGAAGAAGTTGGGATCGTGAGACAGGGTGAAAATCCAGGGACAAGGCACAGAACCCTGCAGTTGCCATCCCACAACTCATGGCCTAAGTGAAAAGAAGCAAAAGCTAAGTGTCACTTCTACCTGGCTCTGCAAAGTGGCAAGGGAGGAGGAGGAGCAGCTGGACACAAGGCATGTGCCTGGATGCCAGGCACTGTGCCAGCAGGAACCCAAAAGAGCCGTGGAAGTGGGGATGAATGGATCAGTGACCAGGACAAAACACCACTTGCACAGTGCAAGGTGCAGAGAGGGCTCCAGAGCAGCCTCAGGCCCTGCACACCCACCAGGGCAGCACCAGCCAAGCTCAGAGCAGTGCAAACCCAGGGCAGAATCCCAACCCTGCCAGCCCAGTCGCGTTCTGGGGGACCAAATCCAGCTGTTCCCTGGCACTGGGAATTGATCTGTGTCCCCAGCATGACTTCCAGGCTCTTTTGATCATCCTTCAGAAGGTGGAATTTGTTTTACTGATCTGTTTTCTTTAGCTCCAAATACAGACATTGAAAACTTAAGACTAAGCAATTTGTTGAACTTCAGTGAATTGAGCTGTAGATCTCTCCAGGTATTTTCTCTTTCTCAGAAGTTAATAATGATATTTAGTGCTCCAAACAGAAAAAACCAGAAAATACCAACATGCTTTTTTTTTTTTTTTAATTTAAAGGTCATTTTGACTGCTAGAAAGGTTTGCAGCTTGAGACAAAAAACTTGTGCTTACAATACAGTTTTCATAACAAAAGATAAGACATGCTTGTGTAAATTTCAGTAAGTGCTTTCATGGATTCCCTCCTTAACCCTGAAATGTTTTAATAAACTAGGAATTCCTAAGAACATGCTTTATAAATTAAAGTATATAAAGCATGTTTAAACTGATGGCTTCTTGGAGCTTTTCCTGGGATGCTGTTTCTGGACATAAGACTAATCTGCTTTGGCACATAAAAAATTCAGAAGTTAAGTAACTGCATTATTTTAGCAATAGAGAATGCCAAGACTCTCCAGATTTCATCTTTATTAAATCTGTGGCTTTAACAAACTAGTTATGATTATTTAGAATGGATGCTAAAAGAAGAACCATATGTTCACGTGGGTTTATTCCACTTTCATCTATCCTAAATAAGATGGGGACTACCAAAAATCAGGTGAATATGTTTAAGAAGCTGAGACTGCTTTGGAACATGGATGTTGTATTTATGGAAAATACAGCTGAAAGCCTGTTATTACCTGACCCTGTGACTTAGAATGAAGTGTGTAAAACTGCATGTCCAGCCTTAGGAATGGCCTTCCACTGGTGCTCAAACAGTCCCCATAAAATAAACTTAATAGGCAATTTGGCCAGAATGTAAAGTTCTGAAATTTTTAGGGCACTCAGTGGAAGAGGCCTAAGGGGATGGATGCCTAAAAGCACAGACACATTCAGAATGATCCCAGTCCCACCCCTCCTGCTCCAAGCAGAGCCAGCCCAGTGGACACACCGGGAGGATCAGGACTTGGTCCAGTCAGGTCTCCAAAACGACCAAGCATGGAAAGGGCACCAACTCCCAGTACCTGTTCCAGTGCTTAAACACCCTCATGATGAAGATCCTGTTGACTTTTCTGCAAATTTTATGTCCATATTAGCAGCACATTTGTTTTCCTGGAAGATAGTCAGAGGCAGCCTGCTCTGCTCCTACACTTTCCACTCCAATCTAGGTTTAACATTAGGGGCTGATGATGTGGGTATACATTACAAATATAAGGCAGGGAAATAATAAAAAGAACATCCAAAAATACAATAAAAAAGACTTTTATGCTAAAAATTTATATTGCTTAACTTGACCTGCAATCCCCAAAATCAAAGAGAAAACCAAACATGTCCAGAAACAGAATTTCTAATATTTTTCTGACAAGTGTTCAGATGAAACAGCAAACACCAATTAAAAAACTCTACTGCAGGAGTGTCCAAAGGGGTGTCACAAATATCTCCTGTGCTCTGGTGACAGGCAGGCAGCTGCACCCCACTCACCCTCTTGCCGGTGCCCCTGCCCACGGGGGGATGTGCCTCGGCAGCCTGTCGGATGGTGCACACCATGAGCTCGATCAGAGCGCTCTCCTGCCGGTCCGACATCGCTGCGGGACAACAGGGACAACAGGCGTCACTGGGGGCAGGGCAGCACCAGGGGACACAATGGGACACCAGGGGAGCACACAGCAGCACACACACCACACACAAGGCACACTGGCACGTTCATTGAGGCTTTCCTGCTGCCTCTTTGATTCAATCCAAAGCAATCATCTTTGATTTGCCATTCGCGTCCTCGCAAAATGGACATGGCGGAAGTGAAAGCAGCCCAGAGAAATGCAGGCTGGAGGAAAGGATCAGTGAAGGGGAGCATAAGGAAGATCTACAAAATAAGGGAGAGTCATAGAGGGGAAACAGTGACAGACAATTCTCTTCCTCAGAAATTCTCTGCTCTTTGGCAAGTCCTTCTGCTCACATTTGGAGGATCAAGCCCCATTAGGCTAAGCAGAATCAATTTCCTAATGAAATTACACTATAAATACCCCTGGTGTAGCAGGTGCATACCAACAGGCCACCCTTTGAAGCATGGACAGGATGAGCACACCTTGCCAGGAACATTGATTTTTCAAACACCTAAACCCTGTGAAGGCCCCTGAAGCAGGAGAATCCTGAGGAATTATAAAGGATCTTGAAGGACACTCATTAACCTTAGGACACTTTGACCCCAGCCTCCCTGGCTATTTTGTGCTCCCAGGTCTATTATCAGCAAAAGGAAATCTGAAACTAATGGTGAAAGAATCCCCTTTGTTTATTCTCTTGAGCATTCACATTACCTGCAAAAGCCCCATATTAACTAGCATCACCTGAAGTGCTTGTTTATTCAAAACTGTATTAGCTATTTAATTTATTGAAATAGTTATTTAAACATTCAGACAAAATCAAGTTAAGACTTGAGTAAACTCCCGTTAATATTAGGGAACCACAGTGCAGCACATTTGATTAAAAAAAACCTCCAGAGTACAAATAAAAAGAAAAATGGAGTACAAATTGCTGCTTTTGAAGGAAAGTACATTAAAAATAGATTAACCCAAAATCTTCAAATATGCTTTGCAAACAAACTACAACATAAAAAGCTGTTTCACTATGGGTGGCAGAGGTATTTAAGGAATAATTAACAATACTGTGCAATGTCAAGGAGGCAAAAGGTTAAGCCAATACCTTCTTCTCCTTGGACTGGCTCCTCCAAGAGCAATTCTGTCATACATTCCCAGTCTTTCAGCAGTTCTTGAGAGCTCTCCCACAAGCTGTCCACCAAATAGGCTGCATGTTCATGCAACTAGAAAATCCAAAGCAATCATCAGTACAGCTCTTGGTATAAGCATCAGTTCTTCAAATTTCATAATCATGTGGCCACAGAGAGTGTCCTGGGCACATATCTTATGTTAGTTGGAAAGAACATTCAGTTCAAAACTAATTCAGGAAGGTTTTCTCCCAGCTGAATGACACCAGTGCAATGGGGTTATGCTTTAACAGAAACTAAATAAAACCAAACTGAGCTTCTTTTGCACACAGCTGCTTGCTTGGGAAAAATCTTTCCCAGAGTTTTGACCCAGAAGCTGTAAACTTACCTTCCCTCACTTTCTCACTGCATTACAAAAAGGAGAAATGATAAGGCATGAGAGTTGTAATGTATTTGTTTTGAACAAGCAATTGGTTTTCATACATGCTTCTATGTGCTCAAAAAAAGGAGCACATAGAAGCAAAACCCTGGTGATTTCACAGGCTATAGATTTAACACTAACTTCAGCTGCAAAAAATGTTTTCATGTGAATTAGCAAAACTGTTGTAAAGTGAGAAAAATAACCCATAGGCTTCTGCTGTTTTCTAAACTCATCTTTAACTGCTACCAACAAGTAACAAGCACAACACACAGCTTGTGCTTGCCAGGGACTGACTCCTTAGCTGGAAAACATCCCTGAGTGCAGAGAAGGAGGTGTCAAGTACATTCCTCTCCTCTGTTTCTGACAGCTCTGGGCAAAAAGTCCCAGAGTTATTGCTGCTGGGCAAGGCTCACTCCCTTGAATGCACCCCAGGCTGCAATGTTACCTTGTCCCACCCACATGCAAACTCCCAATTCTCCAGCTCTTTACTAAAATTGGAGTCAGGATATTCTACTTGGCTCCTAACAAGTCTCTCAAAAGCAACAATAGCAAAAACTGGCCCTGAGAGAGAAGTGACCCTCAGGGAGCAGCATGGGAGGCACTTTGCTGATCTTGGCTTTGGGAGTGGAGCAGAGTCTCTTTTCTCCTCAGGAGGACAGACAAGGTCAGTGCTCAGTAACTCCAATCACACTCACATCGAAGGAGTCTACAATGTAAAACACAATGAACTCTGCAATCTAAGTTTTAAAGAAGCTGGAACTAAAAATCCATTCAGGTGGCAGACAGAAGGACCACACAGGTAGTGACATTTCATCCAGATTAATTTGTAGGTTTATGAGGTGTTTCTAAAAAACAAGAGCACTGTACCAAAATTTTGTCCTTCCTTCTCAGCAACTTTGAGTGTTTCTTTTCATTCTCACAGTCAAGTCTCTTGTTCAAGGCTTCATAACAATTAAAATAATCAATTGTAATATCTTAACTTTTGCTTTTTACCCAAAATATACTACACTTCCTTCTCTAGAGAAACATTTCTGTCATTCCTTTCTTTTAATCTGCTTACTTATCAAATCAAATTAATAATTTTGAACCTTTCCCTCTCTATCTTTAGAACATCCTGTACCTGACAGTACCTTCTGAAATTCTCCTCCCTCCACCACCATTCCCCATCTCTATACTGTTACTACATGTGCCACACAATTTCCCATAGATGCTGTCTCTATAAATCACAGGCACAATCCCACCCTGGGTGTGTTCATCAAACACTTCATCTATGCTTGTTTTCCTCATCCTCCAATGTTTCCAAGATGCTCACTCATAAAGCCCTGCAAGATCTCCTCTCATCTCATCTCATCTCACAGCTGACTCTGCTCTGAGCTAAGGACCCTCAGGTCCTTCCCACTGAGTTCATCTATGATTCTAATCAGAATTGGAGATACTATGCAATTTTTGTCCTGTCCTGATTCAAATGATTTTACTCCACAAAGAATAACTCCAGAGGTATTCCCCTTGCATGGTTATGTAAGGAAAGAACCATTTCCATTCGTGTGCAGCACTGCACCCTGGCAGCCACCACAGCACCAGCAATGCAGCGTGAGTACAGTGGGGACAAGCACGAGTTAAATAAACCACGAAGATGTTCAGATCAATTTCCTTAATGGACAAGGAAATGGAGGGGAAGGGAAGAGGGCTTATGGTATTACTGAAGATATAAAATAAAAAGGAAAAGAAAGACAATTTATTACTGTATGTTGATAAATCATTACTTAAGTTCCAGGTTTTATTAAACATTTAAAGGTTAAAAAGGACTTTTTTACCTCACTTTCAAGAAAGAAAAGAACCAACATTCTAATAAGGTTTCCATTTGGGCTATTTCGCCCCCTCCTCTTTGCTAGAGCCTCTTCAGCTTGGGGATCATGTCTGCTGAACAGCCTGAAAATAAGCAGAAGGAGCTCATGGCTATCACAACAATTCTCATTTCTGCAAGAATATGATGAACATTCATTCTTGATATAGTAAATTTGTTCATAAAACACTGCAAGTATCTCAAGCTATTTCTTTCAATGGAAAGAGGCCACAACCTCTGCCTGTCTGAAGAGATGAATTTGTCTTCAGTCTTTGAGTTCACAAGGCTGGAAGAATTTCACACAGGAAAAAGTTCTCCAAAACCTATTTACATTGAAGGTTTTGCACAGTTTCAAGTATTTGCATCACTTGTACAGTTTTGCATTTATAACTTATCCAGTCTTGCAGTGGAGGCAGCACCTACTGCCTCCTACCTTATTTACCTTGGGTCATTTTTCAAAAGAATTTTGTCACATGTTGATTAATAAAGGAATAGTAATGTGTATTTTTAATGAGAACCTAACCTTTCCAGTAAATAATACAATGTCTTGTTGTTAATGGAAAACTGCACATATAAGTGCACTGAAGAGCTGGGGTTGTATCACTCTGGCTGGGACATGGTACAAACAAACCTGACATACATCAGCCAACCTCAGGTACCAGGAGCAGCATCAAAGATAAAACCAGCTCCTACTCATTATTTTGGGTTTTCCAGGTAAGTGACACACTCTGCACTGAGTTCCCTGATGCATGGCCCATCCCAAACTCTTCTCAATGCTCAAATTTTCCAAGAGACCTCAGATGTGCCACTATCACTGTTACAGCAATGACTGTTTTACTTTGACAAGTTTGAAAGCTTTTCCTGGCTTTTACAGTGAAATCACAAAGCAGATTAACATGTGAAACACAGAATTCTGATTTCACTGCTCTGATTCACTGAAGAGAAGGACAAGTTACACACAAACATTGTATTTTAGTTAAAACCATTACCTCATCCCCCCTGCTTATCTTAACAGATGAGCAATGTGCACTGTGCAGGTGCTGAGATACCTTACAACCTGCACCTCAGGGTTGAGCCAGTGCTCCTCTGTATTTGGTGATCCTTTATATCCTCTGTACTATTTGCTTTCCTTGGCTAAGCACAGAGAGCTTGTCTGATGATTATCACAGAGAAAGTGCTAGTGAAATGTATTAAATTAGGTGAGATAAATCACACCTCAAATGCCTGAAATAGATTCTAACTTATTTAACTGGAGATTTTCTTTGCAGAAACCAAGACAAAATTAGTTAAGAATGGGACAATCTTGTCTCTATGCTGTTAGCCTTGAGGCACATTTACAGAACACAGCTTAGTCCCTTGTAAAAGAAGTCAAAATGAAGTTTTGTCTTTTTCCTAAGTGCACTGTGGGGAAGGTATGTCCTTATTTACCTTGAGTCATTTTTCAAAAGTATTCTGTCACATGTTGATTAATAAAGGAATAGTAGTGTGTAATTTTAATGAGAACCTAACCCTTTCCAGTAAATAATACAATGTCTTGTTGTTAATGGAAAACTGCACATATATTTCTTGAATCGAGTAGTGCTTGATCACAAAGCTGGAATTCCAAAAATCCACCAATGAAAGCTTACAATTACAATGTGGAGTTGTAAATCCTTAATAAACCATAGAAAATTAGAGCACTGGCAAAGAAAAACAGATGTCTTGGTGTATTTTTTCCGACCTGCATCTTGGCATGAAAAAATTAGATAACATGGGTTCTAATATAAATCCTCTATAGATGCAATAAAAAACTCTTAATGTCACAACCCATGAGGGGAAAAAAAAATAAAATTCCTGCTGAAGGATTTTAAACTGCAAACAATAAAAAGAAGAGGTTAACTCCTATGATGTGGCAATGCCCTGGTCACAGTTACTGAGGTGGTGTGACTCACATCCCTGGAAAAGCTGGGTCATGTCCTTTGGCACAGTGAGGACATGAAAGATGTAACCATAATGCAATATATTTTCAGGGGAAGACAGTGAGTTTAGAAACAAATTTTGTAGTTATTGCTACATAAAAACCTCCCAAGTTCACAACAGAGAAACAACTGCCTTAAAACTTGCTAGAAATTATGACTGTTGATGTAGCAGGTAGATCACCCCAGACTACAAGCCCAATATATGTATTTTATCACACCAGGAATTCAGCAAGTGCTGCAGGACTTAAACCATCTTCAGAAGTTTGTGTAGCCTTTGTATATTTAACCCTCAAGGAGTTGGGAAATATTATCTGAATTGCAGAGCAAGAAAAATGTACATTCAGTTTCTTCAAGTCCTCAGATCTTGTTTAAACAAGAGAACAAAGTCTCTGATTTAAATGAAATACCTGATTTGCTAAATTGAGATATTTCACTCCACTGCTTCTTTGCTTTTTGATGTTACCTCTCTAGGAAACATTCCCAAACTTGATCTTATTCCAGGGCAACTGATGACTTACTTTTTGTGGAGGAATTCCCCAGCTGCTACTGCCACAGGCCGGTGTGCTGAGTACACCAGGTGATAAACATTCTCACAGTCTTCATTGGACAGAGCCTCCTCACTCCCACTGAAAGAGTCACAACAACACCTCAGCCACAGCAGAGGTTTCATCTCCATCCCCTCACCTCCCACAGCTCACTTGGGACAGCTACAAGGTTGGTTCACTTCCCATAAAATCCTACATGGTTGAACAAGGACTTCAAGGATCTTTGGTTCAACTTGAAAATACAGAGGTTATAGAGATAAAATAATATTCTCAAAATATCAGCATGACTGCATACAAATCCTCCCCTGCTTGTTCCTTAGACCATCACACAAACTTCAATGCACATACTGCAAGATGCCAAACACTCATCAAACACCATGAACTAAAAATCTGGAATCACAGAATCCTTTAGGTTGGGAAAGACCCCCATGCTCATTCAGTCCAACCATTAACCTAGGCCCTCTGTGTTTACCACTAATCCATGTCCCCACTTTTGAACACTTCCCTGGGCAGATTGTCCCAGAGTTTTAGCAAAAATGATATAAAAATACCAGCACTGTCACAATGAGGATGTTACCTCCATCCTTGTTCAGTTTGCATCCATTGTTTGCTCCAGACACCTTTTTGGAGTTCCTACCTGCCAGAATATTGCCCTGTGCTCTTCAAGGTGACCCAGACTCTCCTCAGGCTAAATGCATTTAGCATTGCCTGTGCTTTCAATGGGCAACCAAAGGCAACCAAAAAGAAAGCAGGAACAGACAAAGAAAAGTGCACTGGGTAATTTTTGACCTTGAAACTTATTGTGTTCCCAAAAATTGTTAATAATGCAGGGAAGACATGTGCTCTACGTGTCATTTCTGATCATATTTGTTATATTTACTTTAAAAATATAACAGTAGATGCAAGATTTCATGTCTTGCTAATATTACAAGGCTAATCTCTTTAAAGCAGAGTAAATAAAAAGCTAAAGTCTAGACTTCTTTACTGAGAAAAGGCTACTGCAATATTTTGTCCAAATTCTGCATGTCCAAAAACATTCTTCAAAGTGGAGCCACTGGATATAAAATATGAAGCAAAAATTCTGTGCATCTGCTTGTAAACCAGACATTCTTTAATAGAGCTTTTAATAAATATATTATAAAAGCCTAGCAGTGCCCGTCACGAGGCTGCTGGGGACAGGCTGGTTCCACATCAGCATGTGGGAGGATGTCTGGGGTGATCCTTACCTCAGGGGAGGTTTTTTCCATTTTCCCACATGGGAGAGCCTGGAAGGTGTCCTACCACGTGACTCTTTTCAGCTGTGTCAGGAATCAATCAACTCTCCCTACAGTGCACCTGTGTTACTGCTGGAGTTACTCTAGCAGGCACAACCCACAGACACTCATTTTGGGAGGACAGTTGTTCTGCCCTTTGCAAAAGGTAGAAATGCCCTTTGGCATTTTCCACACAATGGATGCACTAATGTGTGGGTGCCAAAACATCCACACATTTTTAAACTACGCCTCTTCTATTTCCATTAAATGAAATACCTAACTTCAGCTTCATGTCCATATCATACGTTCAGTTCACCTCCACACTAAGTGTAAAGTAGCACATTCAGTTCAAGACCCAAGCAAAGCCCTCCAGTCACTGGAATGGCAGTGGTGCAGGGAATTTTGCAAGGGAGTGCAGGGACTGGTGCAGCACTCACTGGAGGATGAGCGTGACCAATCGAATGGCTTCCACAGCGACGTCGTACTCCTTGTCCAGCGTCATGGACACGATGCGGTCCTGCAAGGCAACTCCAGGTCAGTCACAGGCACCAACACAGCAAGGCCAGCAGATGGAAAATTCTACAGGTTACAGAAAAATTACTTCTAGGGAGAAAGATGTTTCAACTGCATGCTGACAATGAGAGCCCCTCAATATTACCCAACTTTTTAAGGTACCCCTTGGCTGTGCTCTGTAACAACAGGAACAAGTGCTTCAGCAGTCCTTATCCTTGTGTGTTTGCCAGAAAGGGAGGGAGGAGACTTGAGAGCTACAGCACTGTTCTGGGTTGGATCAATTTAACAAGTGTTTCCTGAAAAGTCACATGCTTGGGTTGGACAACAGCAGAAAAACTGCCCCACTTCATTCCCCTGCAACCAAATAATTTCAGAAGAAGGAATGCTGCATATACAGAAACATGTGAAGAAAAATCACACCTGAATTCATGCATCTGCAGGTTGCTGGTAAAGTTGTGACCTTTTCCCTGTCTAAATCTCAAGCTTTGAAGCAGATCTCAAGAATTACACTACAGAGCTTGCCCAGGAAAGTGGGGAATTCCATGGTTTGATTTTGTGTTTTCCCATACTCCTTCTAGTGGAGACAAGCACATAATTCTCCTGTCAAATCTAATGATTTTCTAACTTCTAAGGACCCTGTAGTTATGAGAAGTCCTTTAAGGGTTTCTCTCTCCTTAGGTTCAATTTGATTACTGGCAAAAATAGCTGTGATTGTTGTATGTTGTCCTTCCTATCTGGAGAGATTTTCCATCCAGCCATAAAAATGCAGTATGTCTCAGTGCTCTTTGCTTGACTGATCAAGTTACTGAAGAGAAATCAGGCCATCTGAAAATAAAACTTGATTTTGCTGGCTTAACCTGCTTCAGGAAGGAGTAGGTACTCTATGACATTTTGGGACATGAAAAAATAGAAATCAGGGACTGGAAAAGAAACAAGGCAAGTGTAAGGCAACAACAGTGAAAGCCACCAGAACTAACCAGAGCAAAATAAAGGTTTTCACCTTTCTTCTCTACTATTCCATGCATTTAAGAGCTGAAGGGGAACATCAAGCAACTGATATTTATTTTGATACAGAAATTTCAGATCAGTACTTTAAAAATGCATTGTGGCTGTCTGAGGTGTTACTTCCCAACAAAACCAGGTCTGCAGAGGCACTTCTTGTCACTGTGACTGAAGGGGCCTCTATCAATCACTATTAAGCTCCTGGAGAATTTGATACATTTCATGTAGATCTAAACAGTTTTAAAGACTGTGAGAAGTCCATGAAGAAACCCAAAGAAACAACTTTCCACACAGGATACTCTGTTATGAACAAGAAAAAAAAATTACTGTCAACTTTTCCTAAGGTCCTGGCCAAGGGACAGCAATAAGGGCACCATGAGAAAGAACAGCCATAGATCCTGATCTTAAATGTCTCACTAGAATTTCATGTATTCCCCAGGGTGTCTAGTGAGACATTTAAGACACCCCAGGGAGGGAATCCACTCTCCTGTCCACAGAGCAGGAGGTACCCTCTGAATCTGGAGTCCTTTGGGACTTTGAAACCAACCAATGGGAGAAGGTTTCCTTATCCTAAAAGACTGTTCTCTCAATTTTCCCCAAAAAATATCAGGCTTAAAATAAACAGCAGGGATGTGTCATTTTGTGCCCTGGGGCCAGCACCTCTGTGTGGTGGCACCTGCCAGCCAGGCTCCAAGAGCCTTCCCAGCAAGACCCACACCCCCAGTGCCTCTGAAGGTGCAACTTCAGCCGCTGGGGAAGTTCCAACCCCCAGCTGCTCAATATCTGCCTTTACAGAGATTCCCTGTGCCATTGTACAGCAGCAGAACAGGGCACAGGCCTGGATTTTTAAGCTGAAATACTAATTCTGAGTGTCTCTGAAGATCAGTTTTCCATTCTATATTAGGCTGTGAACAAGGCAGACTGAAGAGCCAATCTCTCCTTGTGCTCCCAGGCTGTGGAGACAGCACAGGGTGAGGGATGAGGGACTTTGGCACTGCCTGCAGAGGAGTTAATTCACAGCTTTTCCATATGGGGTCAGTTAATGTCTGCATCAGACAGGACTTCTTGATGGAAAACAAAAGTCTTCTCCTTGATGGACAAATTTTTGTTTTGATGGATGAAGCTTATTTTCCAGCATATCACCTACTCATAGAAACACAAATGTTGGAAAGAACAGGCATTTTTCTTTGAAAAAGGGAAAGGATCACATCCTTGTCACAGCTCTCTGGAAGGAGGTGAAATATTAACAGCCCAGCACAAGGCACTCTGGATCAAATTAATTTATTCTTTAAACAGCTAGAAGACCTCTAGAGAGATTTCTCTCATTTTCAATGGATTGAACTGAACACCAGCTGAACTGTGCAGGTCGATTAAATTCTGATGAAGAAATATAAATAAGCAGCCATGGACCTGAAAATGGCAGTTAGGTCAATTATTTTTCAAAGAGGTGGTGGTAGAGTTTGTGGTGGCAAGACATTTAGCTAATGTATCAGAGATTCAAAAAGCATTAATTTGGAACTTTGCTCCATCCTGGTGCCAAAGGCCACATCCCTGACAGCACAGCTGTAAATCCAAGTGCAGGCATTTGGGCCATGCCAGCTTTTTGTTCTCTGGATGTGGCAGAAACTGAAAGTGATTCATCATTATGTTAAACAAATCTGTTCTCTAGGCTCACAGAGACTTTGAGCACACCTTTTCCTCTGTTTTATTTCATAATGATAGAGATTCCTGTAGTAAAACCAGCTTTTATGGGACAGAAGAAAGATGAATTCCTAACAAGGCTCCCTTCCCTTTGAACCTCTTTGACAGAAATGAAAATTCCTTGTACCATTCCAAGGCAAGCAGCAATGCACAGGCTAGCCTAGCTTCCTTTAAGAGAATTGTCTGTGCTGTGAAAAGCAGGATGTATTTAGAGCTTTCATGTCCCTGTAGTTTTCTGGAGTACATTACAGAGTAACTATTGCCCAAAGTGTCTCCAATTGCCCTGAAAGTTTTGCAGGTGCATGGGAGAGTTCAGCCTCAAAGCAGCCTTTTCCTTCACAAATTATGGGATCCTGACAAAGGAGCATCCAGCACATTTTCTACTAAAGAGAAACAGATAAAAGGCCATGAGAGCTTTAGTGACCAATTTAAAAATAAATGGAATTACAGAAGCAGCAAATAGAAACAAATCTAAATCTGCATAGAGGGAACAGGAAAATCAGCAGCTAGAGGGTCCATTTTTCTGGTTGTCCTGTGAGGATAAAGCAAAGCAGACTTATGGAGGCATTAGAGAATAAGTTTGAGGTCTCAACATGTTTACCAGGTTCTCTCCTATGAGAGGAAATTTTGTCTTTACTGCAACAGTGCCAGAAACTGGCTTTATAAAATTAGAAGAATGCAGGTCCTTAGGTGGTCTCTTAAAATGATCGAGTTTTATCTCCTACTTCAGTCAACTATACTTAGTTCATTTCTGGCAGACATTTATTTAATCTGCCCTTTAAGACTGTTATCTTAAATGAAGGAGACTATTAATAGAGTCTGCTCTATTATATAATTATCATTTTGTAAAAAAAGCCTTCCTTCATATGTAGGCTTACTGCAGGTTAAGCATCTTTTTTCTGCATCTCAAGTGAATATGGAAAAAGGCTGATTATCATGTTTTTATAAACTGTTTTCATACAGGGAGAATCTACAGGGAGAAGTTTAAGTCTTGTGCACAGTATTTAAAAATATTTAAATCTCCACTCTTCTAAACAGAATTTTTTATCAGCATTATAATAATGATTTAAGTTAAAATAAACCAGTCAGCTCTGTTTCTTTTCTAAACAAATTTTTCATCAGCATTCTAATAAAGATTTAAACGAGATAAATGAGTTTTTCCTTGGGGGTAGCCTTGCCACAGTAGTGTGTTCTGCAGAACACAAAAGCCTCGGGGAGAGGGAGCAGCTGACATGGTGGCAGTGGCTGAACACTCTCCTCAGCAGGCATCCCAATACAAACAGGGACAGTGTTTCCACACCCATCTCTCCAGACAGTTCACTTGTACAATAAAGCAGTCAGACCACAAAGTGAAGTAACAGCCACATTCTTACCCAGACATTACACAAAAAGTTTGTGCTAATAAAAACCCCATGAAATATCCCCCCAGCACTTCTCTCCTGAAGGGCCAATCTGGCTCAAGGGGTTTGGAAGCACAATGGGAACTCCTGTTCTGCAGCAAGGCCAGCTCACTGTGTAGAGGACTGTGGTGCAGTCCAAGTGACTCTCCCTCCAAACACAAGCACATATTGAGCTAAAAAAGCTGTGTAACAAACAATCTTTCATTATAGGCTGATACTTTCAGCTATATTTTAGATTGTGTTAGTATACATCCTTTAAAATCAATAAATCTAAAGTTAAGTAAGTACAGACAGATTGAATAAGGACAATATATAAGCTATAAATAATACATACAAATAGTCATCCTGGTTAAGCCTGACAAATCTTCCAAGATAAACCCTATGAAATGGCTTTGGCTTAATTTCAGTATTCAGTAACACAGTTTTAGTGGTGCAGTTACAAGCCTTGTCACAAACTAATGAGTTTATTCTTAATAGACAAGACTCAAAGACCACAACAGGATGATGACACTTTTACTTTCTCTCCTCCTTCCAAAAACTGTATTTCCTCTTACCTTGAATCTATTTGTGAACAGCTCCAGTTTGGGAAACAACTCTCTGTTGGTATACAGACTCTGAAGAGCTTTCAAACACTTCAACCTCACTTCACCTTGCTAAATAAAAAACACTGAGATTAGCTGTCAGAATACTTTAACCAAATGCACATGAATATTAAAAAACATAATACTGTAATTTGTTTAATGTACATTTAAAATGTTATGCAAATGACCAAAGCCAATTTGCAATTTAGCTGAAAACCAAAACCCACATGCAGTCACCTACAATGTTGAATTTCTTCCTATTTGCATACAGAAAGAATTAATGTGCCATCACTTATATGTCTGTTAGTGCTTCCCTTTCAAGTGACTCCACAAAAAGATAAAGAATGCAGTCAGTAAATCCAAAATAAGGATGTAGGATTTCCAAGTGGTGGATGCAGGCAGTGTGGCTAGCAAAAAGGTTATAAACACAAATCTACTCAAATATACTCTGCAGAGTTCACTGCAGTGTCAATTTATTTTATGGAAGTGAAGACACAGCAGAGTGGAGGAGCACCAACGTGCCACAGACCCTCAACACACCACACGAGATGGTTCTTCACAACTCTGAGAATCATCCATCTCACAGGAGCTTTAACACCCCAAACACCTTCTAGCAAGGAACTAATTGGGTGGGAATGCTTGTTAGGTTGATTCTTAAGAAACTCATACCAGTGTAAAAGCTGCAAACAGGGATGGACAGAAGGCCAGCAAGAGACTTAGTAAACTAAGAGATGAACTTAATCATAGTTTATACACTTATAGAATATATCATAGTTTATACACTTTTAATTTATGCTCCCAGATACACAGGAATAAAAAAGATGCTTAAAAGCAGAGAGAGGCAAAAATTGAAAGCCATATTCAAATGAGACTCTATAAAAACCAAAAATCCCTATAGATATTTGTTTGAAATCTAGGAGACATGATAAGCATACAAAATATAAGGATTTTCCAAGTTAGAGAATGAAACTTCTGTGCTCTACTTCTGAAAGACTACATTGGAGCTACTACAAAGAAGTGTAAGAACTTTCTTCCCTGTGTCTTTCTTCCCTGTGGTTTAATTTGTACATCTTCTGAAGTAGAATGTGAAATTGCTTAGGAATCTCCTGCACTGCTGTCTCCTTTTTGCAGCAGTAAACTTCCAGGGAAGTTAATAATTTTGGGGTGACTGCTGTTCATGTGAAGTGGAAATAGCTTATGGCTATTGCCTCAGCCTTCACTTTTTAAAATACCAATTATAGCAAAAAATTATCTCCTGATCAAAGCAAAGCAATATCAAGAAGCTTGGGTACCAGGTGGCAGCTTTTTCAGGCAGTGCCAATGAAAACCATGCTGTTAAGGGATCTTGTACTTCTGGAGGCTTTCAGTTGGCTCTTACTCTATCATTTTCCAATATATTCTTCCTATTGCAGCTCCACCCTCCTTTCTGTGACTCCCAAAATGTCTCTCTCCATTTCCCTCCCTTTTCATTATTTGACACCTGCCCCAGACTCTTCCCCATTGTGCCTCCAGTCTGTCTCACTCTGTAGATGACACATCCACAACATCAATAAAACCTCACCATCTATCAGGTGGACTGGGACATTAAACACATTAGTGATTGAAAGACTTAGAACCCCAGGGCACTTCTGTGGCCTGCAACAAAATATCTCACAAAGCAGAGGAAGAGCAGTCTGATAGAATTCTGCTGTGCCTGGTCCAAATGGTCCAGTTTTTTATCCTAACACTGTAATTCAAAATTTCTCTGCTATGAAAGAACACATTGATTTTAAAACAGCTGAGGTATAAATATGTGTTAAGGCTGCAGGCAGATGACTAGACCCTGGCCTGAGGTTAAACTAACAGAAGAGGGTGTGAGAAAATACTGCACATGACATGAGAAATTGCTGGATGTGACAGATGAGAGTATGAGATTCCACAGATGGGTAAAGGGAATGATGTGAGAAATGGATGGACTTCAAAGACAGTAGGAGGGGGCTGAGAGCTGTGAAGTGCAGCCCCACTACATTCTGGAGGTGCTACTTTTGGAAACATTCTACAAGCTTTAGAATGTGCTCCCAAAAATCCACTGCAATTATTCAAAGAGTAATTTATTTAAATTACAAGTCCTAGTAAAACAAAGCCCTCTCCACACACCTTGAATCCTGATTCTCCAACCTGAGCTGACCTCCCCACAGGTTTGCTTGGGGAACTTGAAAAAATGATGTCTTCTCCTGGGGCATGGCAACTTGTGAGGCACAGCAATGTCACCAACAAGGGACACAGAGCAGCAGCTCTGTCCCTCCAGGCACTGCCATGGCTGTGTTTCCATGTCCAGCATTCACTGAGACACAGAGGCTCTGGGGCAGACAGTGGTCATGGCTCACGGGAGCAGTAAGCAGGATCTTCCTCCTGACCAAGTTTTGCTCAATGAGATCTAATGTAAAAGTCTGGGGAAAATTTGTAAGGGGAAAGTTTGAGTACTACAGGTTTGGAAAGAAATTTAATGTTTAGAGGGTACTCTTAACAAGTGAACTGCTCATCCAAATGAAGGCAAGATGCAGATTCCTGGCAGCTGTAGTTAAAAGAACCAGCAGCAGCAGCTGACTTCTACTGTTAGTGAAAGCCAACATCTGCATAACTCATGTTGTTAAGAATTCAGCACAACAGTGACCAAGTCAGATCCTAAATATTAAGATGATGTTTGAAGTCATTGAAAAAAGTAATATTTTTTCAAGAATCAGCTGTTAACTATCAGTTATGTGAGTCTTCCAAATGAACTTGCAGACTGACAATTTTTTCCCACCAGTGCTGGGAAATAGTCTGAATAGGAGATAGTCTGAATCAGGATGTTGGAATTTGATGAGCATTTCAACAGTCCTGTAAGTCTCCTTTGTATTGCTTGGATAGTGATAGCAAGGGAGTTTAGAGTAAAACAAGTGATTCCAGTGGTTTTGGTGGGAGTGGGAGCACAGGCAGTGCTGGTGTACAAAACCCCCCAGGCAGAAGTGCAAAGTCTTCTGTCAGCACCCAGAATGGGCTCCTCTTGCTGCAGGAACTGGGTGAATACCATCACTACTAAGAACTGTGCTGAGCCAGAAAAGCATCTCTTTTCCTTCCATCTGGTGTCTCAACAATTTTCTGAAGAAAAAGCTAAAGAGAACCTTGAAAAGATTCTTCAAGGAAGGGAAAGGGAACTGATGAGCACTCCACTGGTTGTGGAACCAGTTGTGTCTATTGAGGACCCAGAGATCTCCTTTATTCCTGTAACCTTTGGGCAATGTAAATGGAAGACACATGGAAATCCCTTTTCCATTCTGCTTCAGACACAGAGGCTCTCAGGGGTGCTCTGAGGAAACTTCTCTTTCTCTTGTAATCAACAGAAGAGCCCCATGGCAGGACTTCTGTCAAGATACTTCATCAGAGACTGACCACATGAAAATCAGAAGGACCAAGCAGACTGGGAGTACACCCTCCTAATGAAGCCAATACCTGGAAGTGACCTGATTGAAAGATACCAGGTGAGGAAACAGAACAATTTCTTTGTAAACCAAGGACAATGCTGTGCTGGGCAGCACAGCAGCAGCTGCCTCCAGTGCACTCTGCTGTGTGTGGGAATACACAATACTCACCCTGTCATGTAGTGTCCAACCAACATATTTTAAATAACTATCATTCAGGAAGGCATCACTGTACATTTTCATCCAGACACCAATTTCTTCAATACAGACAGCTCTAATCTCAGCAATAGCATCACTATTACAGAAAAAGAAAAGAACAAGGATTAGCCAGATTACAGACAAATATTCTTCCCATTCCCATAGCTATATTTGCTTTTACTGGTCATGAACCTCACTATGTGAGGCCTGTCACTGTTCTTACTGCCATCTCACTGATTTTCTGTTCCTGTACATCCTTGAACTCACTGATCTCATCATTTCAGTGCTTATATATGCTCCTACACTTCTTCTTCATAAAGAAATTCTCACCCTAGTTTGCTTCTTAGTCTATTACTCCATCTTTAACTTCTCTCTTTTCAAAGAGAATTATGAACCCAAGCTACAAACCTCCTCTGGGCAATCATTTCTGAAACAGCATCACTGACATTTGCTTTGCAGCCCAGCTGTCTCCAGCTCGAGGTGCAGAACCATTGCAAGGTGGGAGAAGCTATTTGGTTTAGCCAAAGGCACCTGCCAGAGGAGCACAATGGAATTTGCTACACAAAGAGATCTCATTTTGTACCCACCATGAATATCCCTACAACAAAACCCAGGAGAATTTTGCACTTCAGCATTGGTTTCTTCCCATTTTCTTGCTTTTATCCTACATTCTAACTGTGGCAAGTCAGCAAAGACATCTCAGGCAGACCTATCAGCTGCTTAGTGAGGAGGGGTGGTAGGAAACTGGAGAGGTCACCTAAGGAGACCAGGATGGAAATGCTTTCCATCAGACTGGCACTTTCCTGCCTGCCTGACATGGAGCATGGCATCTTTACTAATAATGAAACAACGGGAAAAGGGATGGGGGCCATCTGTCCCTTCAGTAATTCCATCTCTGGGACATCTGTTACCATAAGAAATCACTTGTGCCACTCCAGCTGGCACTGCCTCACAGTTCCAAATTTCAGCTGTAATACAAGAAGAACACAAAGAGTCACTGAACAGAAGAAGGGGATGTCTGGTGCTTTGCAAACACTGGAAGTTGCTTCTAATTGAGACCCTTGTTTTGTATTTTTATGAAAAAAAATCTTCTTGGAAAAGTAATAAACATCAATTTAATTCTAGACCAGACCAACAGAGCCCCAAAATGAAATTTAATTTATGGGAAGGAAAGAAAAATTCCAAGCAAGACAATAATTGCAAAAACGAAAAACTGCACTGTTCTGAAAGGAATCAATTTTACAAAATACAAATAAAATGCACTCACTCTTCTGATCAAGACACTGCACAGGTTCATAGCTTTAACCCAGTGCAGCAAGCCCCTGGTGACTCCATACTGGAACTATGTACTGCCCTCCTGCAGGCTGTCCCAGCTGATCCAGTGCTTTGTCCTGCCCCTGACCTTTGCAGACCCTGAGCTGGACCCCCAGGCCCCACAGGGACCATGAACCAAGCCCAGCATCACACATGGCCAGGGGGACTTCTCCAGGTAGGTCTCAGTGTTTGAATTCAACTTGTAGGGATGAAACTGTACTGCTGCAACAGCAGGAAAGCATAAACAGCATGTAATGCATTTAATGCAGTAACCTGGGGGGACACCTGTATGAATGCCACCAAACCACTGCAACTGTCTCTCTCTGCCTATGAAAAACATTAATTCTAACAACTTCCCAAGAGCATCAGTAAACCTGGTCTGTCCAACTTCCTGAAGCCTGTCATCTCAGAACCAAGGTAAGGGACAATCCACAATCCAGACAAGCTGCATTAGGAGCAGGGCAGGGCATCAGACAAGTTGCTCCTACTGGGGATTTCTCAAACAGGTTTAAGTAGTGTAAGGACCAATGTGCTAAATATCACACTCAAGGGCTAAAAACTGCATTCCTTATGGGAAAGGCAGCCATAATGAAGATAAGTTTTAGTTTAAACTATGACTATAGTCACATATATATATATATACACACGTGTGTGTACGTGTTCAATTGTACATTGCTTCACACTGAACTAGATTGGCTATTCTCTTACATGGAGTTACTTTTAAACTATTTTAAAAGTAAATTATAGGTAGACAAATGCAAGACTTACAGAAAAACCTAAAAGACTAGTACATATAAATCAAGAAAAAATGGGGAGCCACATCTGCAGCAACACGAAGTAGTGAGGAAGACATTCTTACTAGGGGATGACAGCCTGAGTATTCACATCCAAGTAAGTTATTTCACCACCTTATAAATTTACTAACTGTGAAGGATTTAATGGCAATCCCAAAAAGAACCTAAATGTCAACAACTATTTAATCATGCAGCACAGCCAGCCAAAAAGCAGGAAGAATCATGTTTTCTCTAAGAGTGCATTCAAGCTTCCCTAGGCAGACAGTGAAAAACTGCTTCTTCATTCAAAAGCCTTCTCAGGGATCCCTCAGCACTACAGCACTACATTCACTCCAAGCTGCTAATTAAAACAAAAAAAAAAAAGAAGAAAGCTATTCAACTTAATAGGAGATTTAATACAATAAGAATTTAACATCTCCAGTATAATTGAAAATGAGACAGAATCAAGGATGTGAGACCAGCAAACAGACTCCAGCTGCCAGAGAAGCAGGGGAACTTGTGAGACACCACTTCCCACTCCACATCACCTTCCAGGCAAATATCACTGATCAGAATCACACCTGTGTTCCTGCAGGAATCATTAACACAGACTCCATGCCCATACAATGCTGTATCAAACACAATACAGCCAAAAAAATCTTTGAATCTTTGCTTTTAATGTGATAATTGCTTGTCATTAAACTGTAATTATTTTCTTCTAATTTTTATACAGTTAAATACATTTTAGCTTCTGGTCACTATGAATTGTTTAGCTTTTTGAAAATATCCATTATTTCTGGATGACACAAGAACATACAAATACTAATTATACCTGCACTGGAAGTGTTTTTGGAATAATGAATGCATTATTAATTATCATAATTATAAATTAGTGATGTAAGCTTGTCAAATGCTTCTAGAAAGAAACAGAACCTGGTCCAGCACAGAGATGAAAACTAATGTGGCATCTATGGATCTTATACATTAAATATATTTAACCCTCTTTTCAGCACAAAATGCAAAGAAAGGTCTACAAGGTGAAAATATGCACAGCACAATTCACAGCCTAAGTTGCTACTCTGGGTAAAGAGATTCTCCATGATGCAGCTTCTGAAAGGATTTGACAAAAGGGGTCCAGGTAAGAAATTCTGTATTTCCTTTTGAAATTTTGGCTTGATAAGGCAGGCCCATAAACCGTCGGACAAACCACAGCAGTGTCAGGAAACAGATTTTACCAGTGCCACTCCAAGTGCCACTTCAGTGTGCCTCTGATGCCAAAGCACACACAAGAATTGTGATTAATACCAGCAGTATTCAGGATCTGAGCCATAGACTCTCTGATGGATATTTGGGAAATAGCAGGTGCAGATCAGTGTGCTCCTCAGGGTTTCTGCAGTGGTTGTCAGCTTTGACCAAATCTGCTGTTCACACTAGACTAGCATTATACCTAGAAAACTATTTGGCTATTTCCTCAAATCTTTTTTTTAAATTAATCTTGATGAGAGAAGTGAGGACTGAAATCTTCCAGTAAATTGGAAGCCAATCTATAGAAAGAAGATGTAATCTCACTGCAACACTTGTCAGAAGACATATCCTGAATGAAACAGTTTGGGGAGTTTTGCTCAGGTCAAGAACTTGTTATTTAAACTACAAAGGTCACTAAGCATGAATCACTGTGGCTGAGTCTGAATCAGTCCTTCACATTGAAGGACTTATTTTCTGGGAATAATTAAAATAACATTCTTTTGAAATCATCATCACTTGCATGGTCTAAGGCCTGTAAAATCATGTGAAGTTTATAAATAATTTGAACTATTTGAGAGAAGGAAGGTTCAAGAAATTAAGAAGTTATGAAAGCAGATAATAGTTCACAATCCTTTACATTTTATCCCACCTGGGCTTTGTTGTCAATTGGCTGAATTTCACACAGACATTTTCCCCCTCTATTTTCTCGTCCAGCTGTGAGTGCAGGAGTGTCACTCTGTGCCCTCTGTTGTGTACCATTACTCACAGTTTGGGTACCATTACTCTAAGTTTGGTGTATGTTGTAAGAGACTCTTTGTGGCTCCCCAAAAGGTCAGGGACAGCTTGTGCTCACACAGGTGGCTCTGGGTGGGAACAGGTTCCTCCTGACCCCTCTGAACAGTGGCACAAGTGGTGCCACCACCTGTCTGATTTCAGTCGATTCCCCATGGGTCTAACAGGGACACCATGGGCACCTTCTTCCAGGGCATGGATGGAGTTTATTGATTTTATCTCCTTTTTTGCAGTAACATCAGCAACATCAGCTCTTTACTAGTGGTGGCAGGAGGCATGAAAAGAAACTTTTTTACAAAAGGAGGATTGCAAAAGAAAAAGCAAAAGCACCACAATGCAGACCACCAAAAGGCTGAGTGTTTTTCCAATCCCACACAAGAGCATGAACTATTTGTCACAGACATGTTTTATGAAAAATCCTTTCCTTAGGATTTTTTCTTCTGAGAAGCTGAGAGGCCTCAGAAACAAAATGTAGCAATGATTATCTGCTGCTGTGGAATGCAACAGGTGCATCTGGGATTGGTCTCATGTGGTTGTTTCTAATTAATGGCCAATCACAGCCAGCTGTCCAGACTGTCTCAGTCAGTCACAAGCCTTTGTTATTCATTGCTTTTCTATTCTTGGCCAGCCTTCTGATGAAATCCTTTCTTCTGTTCTTTTAGTATAGTTTTAATACAATGTATATCATAAAATAATAAATCAGCCTTGTGAAACATGGAGTCAACATTCTCATCTCTTCCCTCATCCCAGGACCCCTGTGAACACCACCACACTACTAAGAGGATATTTTAAAGCAATGTTTTGTTTGATATAATACACTAAGTTCTGAAGGGATAAAAATGGAAACACTCATAGAATTTAAGTTTTTCAGCATTTTTACCTATGCCATGAAAGCTGCTCTCCTTACAAAATGGTGTGAGTGCTACACTGATCTAGCACATCCATGCTGGCTCTGCATACCCATTCTCCTGCTCCCAAGCAGCTCAAGGCTTCCTGACCACAATCCATGAACTTTTCTTTTCTACCTTTTTCAGGTACTGAGGAGACACTCTCCAACCCCACTGTGCTGCTCACACTCACACATTTGTCAGCACAAGCACCTTCCTGGTTTCCTGTGTGCTTTTCTCCAAATTACAATCATCCCTCTGTCCAACTGAACTATGGGTTCCTCTTCACCTTCCAACCCCTCTTCTCATACACTTTTTTTTCCTGCCATTTTCCTAAAAGATTCCATAAATTATAAACTTTTAAAGCACTGAAAAGTGAAAGGTTAATTGCATAGTTTGGTACCCTGGAATTTTATCTTTTGATTTCAGCAAGTCAATTAACATTTAAAGAGCTGGATGCACCAAGGTGATGCAGATGCTCTGAGACATCTTGTGACGCACAACAACCCTAAACCTGTTTTAAAAGGGTACTGCTCCCTGGTAAACTATATTCCAAATTTGCAGTTTACACCCAAGACATACAAAAGGAAATGCAGGCTGGAGGACAACTGCTATCCTATGATACACAAATATTATTTGTTTATTTTTGAGATATGTCATTTTTGTGCTCCCAACATGGACAACTTTTCAAAATGCAAAGATTCAAAGCCCATGTCTCCCACAGCCCTTTAACGCTGTCTACTGAATTAAAAGAAAGTTGTGTGGATGGCTGTACTGAGTAATTAATAGAGGTTACAATTTGCATATTCTTCCATAACTTCAAGTGTTTTTGACAGTGATCCTGCAGCATCTAGACTATTACATCAGAAGAAAATTAACCCAGAAACCGCCCTTGACTTTCCTTATGACCACACTTTATTAGCAGAGCTTACTGGAACATGCATTTTCTTACCGGTATCTATGAACAAATATACCCTTAAAAATAGAGTTCATCATATTTTCGATTTCATCTTGATTTTCTTGTAGCTGTGAAAAATAAAACACAAAATAAATAAAAGATCATTGTTTATTATAATTTGGTATTCTACAGCTCCCTGCTGGGAAACCTTAGAAGACCTTGGAAGAGCACTTGAGTAAATTCACCACTTCTGCTTTTCCAGCACATGCCTATATTGTGTGCATATACATACAAATATTTACATTATATATGCAATATCTTAATGGAAGAAAATTAACATTCACTACAAATATCAATTTAGTCTCTCAAATTAGTTCTTTGAAGTGATCATAAACTTTTGCTACTGAAAATGAGACAAGTAGAGACAATGTGTGCAGCAATTTCAGCAGGGCTGTGTTCACAGGGAAACACAGAGCTGAATGAATGACAGCTGCAGAAACAAAGCTGGTTACAGATTAGCTCTGAAAAAATTAATGTTCTATTTAAGGAAAGGAGTTGAAGACATTCTCAAACTTAAGTAAAAGACTGTCAGTTGCTTGAACTTCAGCACCCACAGTAACTGGGTTTCAGAAGCAGGAAGATTTCCATGACCAGAGCACACCTGACATCCAGGCCTTAGCCTGCAAGAAACCAAACTCAATTCCAAATGAAAAGGTGCTATGAGCATGGTTTTATAAATAAGAGCATTTTCTTAAAAATATTTTCACTTCCTGAGTAATACGAGCATGTTTTGCAAGTACTATGGGAAGCTTACCTTGTGTCAAATAATATGTTAACACAACTTGGAATTAATTACAGTATTCTCATACTGTCAGATCTTGTACTAACTAAGTATAACTTAATTACACCTTAATTACACCTGCAGCTTTGTTAATAAGATGACACCAATTTTATCCAATCAGTTTTTGGAGCAGCCATCATTCTTCCATCAAGGTGTTCATTACAGTCCAAGCACAGCATCACAATGTGGGAATGTAAATTTGCCCACACTCTCACAGTAGGAAAACCACAACAGAGCCTTGCTGGTGGAGTGCACACATGCATAAAATAATTAAACCTGTATAATTATGGATGTATATATTTAACAGATAAAAGGTTTCAAAGCCAGAGGGAAAAATTGTGATCAGCTGGTTTGACCTCCTGCATGGCATGAGCTCTGAAACACTTTCCCCTAAGGGCTTCTATTTTTCAGCCAAATATTTCCACTGCATCTTCCAGGTATGAGCTGAAGTAGCTTCAGAACTCTGGGAGTGAAGCCTCCCAGTTCAGTGAAGTGTAAGGAGGTGCTGTCTCCATTTTGCATGTGGAGAAACCAAGGCATTGAGGGCTCTTGACTAAATTGTCAAAGGGCTGCCAAAGAAACTAATTTTACAGTAAAAGGGATTATGTACCAGGGGAAGAGCTGGGTCCACACCAGTTCTGCAAACATGAACCAAGCATATTTAGACATGGCCTCTGGGAAAAGCACTATTTGCAGCATCAGCTCAACCCAAATATGCACAGACTAAATGCTTATTTGAGAATTCATAACCCAGAGGGGACTGTGAGCTCCTAATCACCCCTCAGCTGGATGGCTCCACAGGCTACAGGCAGGGAAACATCCACAGCAACATGGAGGTAGAGACAGCCTAGCACAGGCTGTGCAGTAAAATGAGGATGGGAATGAACCAAGAAGCCTCAGGAGGCTTTCTGAAAAGCTGCTAGAGCTCACAGAGGACTCAGGGAATGATTTCTTGGTATAAAACCACACCACAGAAGACAGGTAGGGGAGGATGGACTTTCTGAGCCATGAGAAAGTTGAGATTCTGTAAAAGGTGTACTTTGACATCTCTGGGAGTGCAAAGTGAAGCAGCACAGTAGAAGCCCGAGCAGCACAAATGAAGGGACAGCACAGATGGCTTCCTCCCTCTTCTTCTGCACAGAATTCACAGTTCACTATAAACATGGTGAATTATCATCTGGTACAGGTATCCAGGTGCTGGGGCACAGCTGGTGTGGAAGCAGAATCAGAGATTCAGTAGGTCCATGTGAGATTGCTTTTACCTCTGTGTACTAACATTTAAAGGATATAATTCTCAAATGTATTTTAGATTCAGTAATGAATTTTCTCTGAAACTCTAACTGCTTTCTGCACTTTCAAGTTTTTTAAATCATGCACTTGAATCTGAGTGCTTAACTTCAAGTATCTTGAGGGAGCATCTGTGTCTTGGGATTCCTGCTCTTACCAATGCAAAAATGATTTAACACTCCCCCTCTTAAACAGAGGTAAAAAATGAGGGAAACATTCTCTTGTTGACTCTGCAAGCATGTGCAGAAGCTCAAAAAGACATGTATGACAAGCACAAAATTTAAATTACTACTGGCAGATATTAAAAAGACAACTTTCTCTGCTTTGTGGCATATTGCTACATAAATAATCCACTTGAGCTGAAAATCTCATTGATAAGACAGAGCTCCATGCATGGCTCTCCCACCAGGCCTGTAGATGATGGCCTGAGAATGAAACACTTCAGGAAGTGCTCCATCTCCTCTGCTTCAGATGAACTTGACACACTCAGTTGGTGAACTGTCCCTCTACCAGCTCATGAAGACCAACACATGCACATGTATGTGCTCAGGAGGGGTTGTTAGGATGGCACTTCATCAAGGAATCAACTGAGGAAGTACCAGCACAGAATGCCACAGTCAATTCAGGGTATTTAAACAGTGGGAATACACAGTATTGTGTCAGGAATTCTTCCACAGAGCATTAAGTAAACTAATCCTAACAGATCCCTTCTGCCCAGGTGCCCCTGGTGTGCTCAACCCCATGGACATACTCGTCTGGCTATTCCCAGGCAATGCTTTGCTCAGCTGTCATGAGTAGGTAGATAAGAGCCCCTGAACACACAGAGCCAAAGGTAAGGACTAAGAAATGCTCCTTCTCCTGCCAAGGCTCCACAGCCCTGTGCAGCTCCCCAGGGAGAGGATGTCCTGCAGCTCTGAAAGAGCAGCTGGGGGAACGGGCACAGAGGAGCTCCCAGCCACAGAGCCACCAGCCCAAGGTAATCAGTGCAATTAGTGCCTTTGTTCTCTGCAAATTCAAAGCAACAATCAACAAATGTGGAACACAAACTCTGTTCCAGCTATTTTGCATTTCAAAATGCTTTAGAACTCACATGCAATTTAATATTTAATTTAAAATGTTTTTCTCACAGTTTAGGAAGGAGAGGTTGTTCTTGCATTGTACTTTAATGTATGCTTTTCAAGAATTATGCAAGCCAAATAAAGTTGTGCTACAAGTTATAGGGGTAAAATAAAAATATGTAATTGTAATTACCCCTAGACAAAAACTACAAGGTCAAGCAATTCTCATCAAAGATACACCTAAAGGAATTCAAGGTGCACACAAGCAAAGTACCGAGACAGTCTTAATTACCACAGAGTAAAACAGTGGTAGAGAAAATTCAAAACTAATATATTAAAAATCATAAATTTATATCTAATAAAAACTTTGATTTTTCAATTTCTCTTATGAGTTTTACTTGGAATCGTTACACATTATGTTTGTTTGGATGTATGTTTATTAATTTTCTGCTTGTCATCTTTAAATTTAAGTACACCTCTAAAACTGAAGTTTCCTGTGATATAATACTTTATTTAGGAAAGATTACAGCAACCTTCTAATGGTTTTTCTCACCTAATGCCAGGCTGGTACTTACTAAAGGCGACTTTAATGTCTCCCTAGCTCCTTCTCCCTGAGAACAGGTGCTATAGCCTCAACTCCACAGTGTTTCCTGAAAGCAGCTAAAAAAGAAGTAGCAATGAGACACTGTGGAATAACTGCAGTGATCAAGGGGAAAACTGGGCAGTGCAGGGAGGGAATGTCTGATCCTCTTGTCAGAATCTTTCTGCATCACCAGAACAGTGACTGCTTACAGTTTGAGACTCTTCTTGCCTGGTCATTCATAGAAGCTTGAGAAGAGAATTCTCCTTTGCGTGCAGAACAGCACCACAAACTCAACTGAATGTGGCAGTACAGGATTTAAGTAGTCTGCTTGAGATCACACAAACACCACTGCAGAACTAAGCTCTTTCTCACTGTGGTACTCGAGTCACAAACCATCCTGGGCTTTCTGTTGGAGGGAACGCACATGAACCAGGAAAAAAAAATTGTCTTTTCACTTGCCTCTTTTCTTTTCTGAAGCAGCAGCTCCAATCTTTCATTAGCTCTTTTGCCAATCATTTTGTTTCTCTCAGCTTCATACTGCCTCTGTGTATTGTCCTGATGAATGCTCAGGTTTAAGGCAACATTCACAAGAGCAGTCATAAGCTTCATAGCTGCAAAGGCACAAGACAGATTATGACTCTTTACCTGTAGTCAGAACTCAGAAAATATTTCCTCAGCAGATCCATACTCACAGCAAAAAGCCTCCTCAACCCTGGCCCAGCCATCTGGATAGGCACTTCTACCCAGGCAATACCCAGGTCACTGGCCCATGGTCAGAAAGCAGTCTGTACCCCACACTGAGCTGCAGGCAGTGCTCCTTGCTGTCTTCTCCAGACAAGCTCTGAGACAAGCTCTCAGGGAGCCAACACCTGAGCCTGCAGCATCAGGGCACCATGAAGGCAGCTGCTGGGAAGTTACAGCCTTTTCTGCACAGGAGAGGGCCAGCAGAGATTGCCCCATACCAAGGGTGACCTTAACCAATGGCTGCTGAGGTTGGCTCAGTTCACAAGGGACCACAGCACAGCTTCTCTGAATGCAGGTCTGACACTGCTTTCAAGTTAGCTGTACAGCCATAGAAAAATGCAATTTTTATTTTCACACATGCTGGATATCATATTGTTCGTGTCTGCTTTTCAATACTAGAATTTATTTTTACAAAAAACATTAATAAGGGTCTTCCCCCAAGTTCTGTGTGGTTACATAGTACAACTGATTTTACAATATTGAAAAACCAGCAAAATAATGCGACAAACTATCACATCCTCTCTGCATGCTCCTCTAAATATGCAGCACTGCTTCAAGGTAGAAAAGCAACCACACAAATGGAGAAGTGAGGCTACTTGGATTGATTTACACTGCTATAGCTCAAAATTGGTAACCTACAGGTACTTCTTCCTACAGTGAATCATCTCTCATTCCAACTGACTAGCATAGAGGAAAACTAAAAACAAGGACCTATAAACACTTCTTCAAGAAGAAATGCCAGTCTACAAGTAGCATTTCAAAAACTTTATCAAGACTGAGCTCCATGGCATCATGTTGACCTCTGTTCCTTGGGACTGCAACACAATTAAATGTGCTGAAAACAGCTTGAAGGAAATTTGTAGAATCAAAGCAAAGCCTCAAGCTGGTTACAACAAGCAAATAACTAAATAAATGGCATGTACTGTCAGTGGTAAATGCTGAGATCCTTGGCAGCTCCCATCTGTGATGCAATGTTAGATAGATGTGTCATTAATGCAAGAAGTGGCTGAAATAACTGCAGTCAGTTGTGATGAACCTCAGCTTTACCATCAGTTTATTCTTGCTGCAAGCTTCTAGCTACAGAATCCATTCCAAATAGTGGAAACTCTTTATTCTACAGAGCACAGGACTTGGGAAATAACTGCTGTAAGTGCTCCTGTTTCCTGTCTTTTAATCAAGCCCCTCAGACTTTCCAAACATCCATCCCTGCATGGGGGGATCCAATCAATCCCAGGGACCAGAGTGCAGACCTCACTCCATAAACTCTTCCCTATGACCCAACCACAGTCTGAGCAAACAGCAAATCAAAACTGCCCAGAACTGCAGACAGCATCAGATGGAAGGGAATAGTTTAAACAACAGGCATGGATTTCCAGCAGGTTATCTAGGCTCAAAGAGTGCTCACCTTGGAATACTGAATTTGAAGAGGAAACTCCAAACCTGGAAGCTTAAGCCTGCATAATTCACAGTTTTACCATCCTATTGCTAAGTGTGGTGAAGAACACAAGGGAATGTGCTTCCAAAGGAGTTCAGTCACTGTGAGTTGAAGGGTTTGGGTTTCAGTTTTAAAATCAAAATCCACTCAAATCTGGAGATGTTTTTTCAGTATCATTAGAAATCTGCCTCTTTCTTTGATTCATAATGGGAGATGAAATTTTAAATAAATTCTGATTGTATTTGTTTAAAACTGGGTATTGGTGTTCTTGAAACTGAAAAAATATGTATGAGGCTGATTGTGAAATGACTAAATAGTAATAAATACTGTCCATAGAAACATTCAGATTATGACAAATGTCTGCTGTAAGAGTTTCAAATATCTGGTATGATCTATGAACCTTGCAATAAGATGGATTTCTTATTACCTGACATGACCAGCTGTAGACACCTATACCCAAGCCAGCCACTCTGGTAGTGCTTTGTAATTGAGAAAAATAGTTCCTTGTGGAGAGCAATTCATTCCTCTTAGAGGAGACATCTCATATAGGTGTGATGAAACACACAAGGAAAGCCCATTTCTATCTATTGATACACCCAAGGCTTTTCTTAGGTGAGGCAGCTGCACTAGAAGGTGCTGTGGCTGCAGGCAGAATGCAGGGAGCCCTACAACCATGGCCCAGTAATCCCAAGCCTTATGCTTCTCCAGAGTTAAAGCACAGATTATCTTTTCTGATGAATGGAAACTCTTTGATAATACAACTGTCCTGATAGTTCTTTAGAATAAATTTATACTCTAAAATATAGAATTACTCCAACATTCTGTACAGCAAGTGAACAATTGATAACAAAATACAAGACATAAGGATGCCACTCCTGATTGTCAGGATTCAGTTTTTACTATTTCACTCCTATTTTACTGGAGGCCCTGGGGATGACAGGAATCCCTATGTGCCTCAGCACTTTCCAAATAAAAAAGGAATACTTTAGTTATAGTTGTACCACGTGTGGTACACGGATTCGATGAAGCTTCCCAGAGTTTTAGGGCTGGTCAGGGTTACACATGACCATCACTCCTGGCAGTGGAGAAGCAGCAGCAAGCACAGCTCACTCACCAGCCAGCGTGCTGGTGTGCCGGAAGGCGCGGACCTGCGAGTCGGAGAGGCCGGTGAGCAGCGAGATCACCGTGTCCATCATGTACTCGTCGTAGATGATGCTGTACTGGCACTGCCGGATCAGCACCCCGATGAACTCGCAGAAGTTGGAGCGGAACTTCTTCCACTGAGGCCCAGGCATGGTCAGGGGGTAATCACCGCTGTCCTACAGAACAACAAAAGAAAAAGATCAAGTATTAAAGGTGTCCCCATTTATTATTTTAAAGTTGGTGTACCCATTGTGGTCTGTGGTTTTAAAATAAACATCATCTTGTTCCTTCAAGCCAAGGGAAAATAACAAATAAAAACAACACATTATTCTTCAATAAACAGGGAGGCTTATTGGCATGAAACCACTTTTGCAAAGACACCATTGTAATTGTTTTCTACTTGCAGTATTGGCTCCGTATAGTCCAAAATAAGTATCAAGACTCAATTCTCTTCCTTGCATCCTTAGTTAGGAAGTGGGAGCAAAGGATGAGACAGGAATATTTCAAAGTATTTAAAGGCAAAACCTGAAAAAAGGCTTGACTGTTTGTGTCATTCTCCATCCACTTAAGGTTAATATTAAGTTGATGCTTAACTTTCTGAATCACAGCCTTGGCATTTCATATAGAACTGGTCAGAGGCACTGTTGTCCTACAGAAGTATCTGCTCCACCTTTAGTTTTCCTCACTAAACAAAATGAATGCTCAGAATATTCAGCATTTTATACACCAAAAATCAAATAAAACACAGTTCAAAAATCTCAAAGCTAAAAAGCATTCACCATTAGGAACACTTTTATTTTGACAGAAGATACCCAGTCTGAATTGTAATTTACTTGTTTCAAACAAAATGCTCAGATCTTTTGAAAGAGTATTTCTTTCTGTATCACTGTTCCAAAATGGTAATTTTCATGTCAAGTTCCTATTTGGTTTAAATTGCCATTTAAAATGCACAAAACATTAATTTGCACAGAGAAAACAGAGCAGCATGCTGTAATCCTGTCTCATGAATCTGATGTGTCAGGAATCTGGAGCTCTTTGTTGTAAGAGGCATTCCCAAGAGTTGAAGTTCAGCACCCAGAATGCCACCACCACTCTCAGTGGGATGAGGGTTCTCCAGTTCCTCTTCCTGCCTGCTCTGATGAACCTCTCTCTATCCTGCTTCTCTGCATCCAACAGCTCAAGTTGCTGCTTTGCTTGTCAGCAAAAGTTTCCCACACTGAGATATTATTTATCCACTGGCCCACTGCATTTTTAATTTAAACCAGAAGTATATGGTAATATATTTCATAATGCTTCAAACAACTATTTGTATACTCTACCTCATCAAATTCTTCTGTCATTTTCCTTATGATTTCTGCATTTTGCATGTTCCTGAACATTTCAATTCTTACCGTACCTGTAATGTAATGAAAGAACAAAAGAAATTAACACAACATGGTTTTGCTACATCAAAATATCAATGTTTTTCTGCTGCTAAACAGACAGCTCAGTGATACATGTAAGAGTATGCAGAGTGCAACAATAACAGGAATGTTTTGAGAAAGGCTGTCTCTTGAAGAAGTAGGGAAAGAGGACTCATCTGTCCTGTAATGTGCTTTCAAACAAGGAATTCGTATCATTCTCCATCCTTCCACTCTTTGCAGCCAAGCAGAAGTGGTAAAGCAGTGATAACCATGGAGGACTAGTGTCATGTCTGCAGCTGCCCAAGGCTTTCAATTTTGTCTGCAAAATCAAATGAGCACCATCTTTCATTTTCACAGCCACTCCTGGTGGTTCTGCACTTTCCATGCCGAGTGCCCTGGATGACAGATATCCATGTTCTCTATGCACCCACTGGGAGTTTTCACACTGCTCAGCCCAGGACCAGCATGGTTTATTGACTGAGGCATGTATCCACACCAAAGGCTCCAAAGAGCTCAGCCAAGACATGAGCCAGCTCAGCACCAGGAGCAGCAACTGTATCGCTGTTATTCTTTAATGAAGATCTTCTACTCTTCCTTGTTACCTGAACACTGGAGTTGATAGGATTAATTTTTCATTGTAAACCAAACAAATTACCAAAATTGAAAATAGAACAACACAATAGCTATAAATGAAAATTCTTGTGTCTTGATCAAAATTCAATCAGTGTACAAATAAAGTATTCTGACATATTATTGCCCCTGCAGCTAGACACTATGTAAATATCTAACCATACAACCCAGGGCAACATAAAGATTTTTTTTTTTTTTGCTGCTGCTGCATGATCTTCTCTTCACCACTTCATAATCTTCTTTTGTTAATGGAGGAAATTCAGAAAAATTAACCAAACTGCAGAGCTACAAAATCCACCCCAACATCATTAACGTTACAAAGAGTAAGTCTCTCAGGTTTTGCAAAAAAGTTCAACTGGATTAATGAGCCACTGCATGGCTTCAAAAATTCAGACCATAATAGAAGCAGCTTAACAGCTAACAGTATTAGTCATTCTACAAAGGACAAATAAAGATAATTTAAACATCCTAAATATTATGCAAATGTTTTCATTCTGGTATTTTATTCCTTTAAAAAAGAGCATCAGAAATATATGCATTTAAAAATATGCAAGCACGGTTAGATCACACCAAGTCTCTCTATGTCAGTACTGGTACAGTTTTACAAAGCAAATGAAATACTGATTTCTTGAATTGCCTTTGCTTCTTCCTGAAATAATATTTGTTATCTACTTCATACTGGGTAATACTGCCAACCTCAGTTCTGACAATGGCAATTTAAATTTGTGCATAGTCATTTCCATATCATTAACAAACAATTACTAATGCAATATATCAACATAAAACCAGGAACCCAAGAGAATACCACCATGTGACAGTTGAAAATATATTTTCTCAGCTTGGAAATCATCTGTACATGCAGATATATTTTAATCTTTCCCTCAATTCTGAAAGTTTAGTTTTGGCTAAATGAAGCAGTTTCCCAGTATGTCTCAGAGCAGTGGATAGGTACTATTGAACAACCCTTCTGCTGCAGAAATGCTCCTTTCTCTCATGGCATGCTGGTATCTGCTGCTCTTCCCACTGGCAGCATAGCCCTTAGTCAAAGAGGAACCTACTGACCTTTGCTATTTTACTGGTTTATAGCCCTGATCCTAATGATATTCTTATCTATTTATGGCTTCTTCTAATAACCTGCCATAGCCTCAGTTTCTCTACTGTCACAGCCATGGTTACTTTGCATGAGCAGAATCCAGAGAGCACCATCCCGCCCTGGGCACTTGGAGGGTGTCACTGATCCTCAGCTGAGGCTGGGGAGATCCTCCAACACCTTCCAACCAGCAGTGGTGCAGTTCTCTGGGACCCCGAGGCAGGGTGTGCACACCATGAGACAAACTCCTGCCATCTCCCAGGGCTGCCAGGGTGGGCAGGAGCTCACACAGCCAAGGGAGCGTCAGCAAGCGCCCGAGTGGAGAACGGCACTTCCCCAGTATCCTGTCCCATTCTCTCCCACACCTTTCAGGACCCAGTTTACAGAAGTCATGGACAGCACAAGGAGTGTTTCTGCTTGGCTGGCAGTAGGCAATGGCTCTGCCCTGACTTTTGGCTGACCTCATTTGTTTTTCTGACAAACTCATTTAACACTGTAAGTATGCTACGAAGGTTTTGCTCAGATTTCATGGTGACACCACAACATTTCAACATTGCAGTGGTCAACATTATTCAAACCCATAGTTTTTATGATTAGTGAAAAGCAAAATTTTCCCATTTTCAGGTGAATCCTTAATATGTAACAGAGTGTCTATCAAGTACAACTGAGGAGTGGCATGCATCCCTGAAATCTTTATCTTACTCAAATTGCTTCATGTCCTTTTCTAAGCTGAGTTTTACCTCTGCCATGAAGCTCTCACTCTGTATTTAGTGCAGAGAATTGAAATTGTGTTAATCCATTAAGAATTGAGAAGCCTATTTCACTTCAGGACTAAGTTCACAGTTAAAACCTTTTCACACACACATTGTGTTTTAAAAAGTCTTATATGTCACTGACATATATTTCCTTAATGACCAAATTGCAGTTTAACTTTCAAATAGAACAGGTATCAACATAATTTGTCAATAATTACAGCAGCCAACGCGGTCTTTAAGAGTGAAAAGAAAAAACCCACACAGAGCATAAAACTTAATTTCAATGAGAGAAGAGAAAGACTAAAGGGGCCTATACAAAACTGGATGAATACACCTTAAAAAACCTTAAACTGTGTACAAAACCAGATATAATATTTCTGGGAGATATAACACACAGTGGACTCAGTGGCTTGAAAACATGTATTTAGAGTGAGAAGAATAATAACCATTTTGATTAGTAAGCCCTGTAAAAGCCAAGCAACAATAAAGATCTCCAAGAGCTTTACAGGATGCCCTCGAGTCTGAGCAACAACCAGTCTTCACTACCAGGAGTTAAAGAGGGCTACCCCTGGGATGTGGGTGGTCCCATGACTGCCTTTCCTGCTGCTAACAGGAGCTACTGGCACTGACCACTGCTGGCAATCAGGAAACACCATCAGACCAAGTGTCCCACTCCAATGCCTCCTGCACATGGCAGCTCTGGGATTTCTACAGGAAAAGTCAGATGAGAGAAACATCAGCTGCTCTAGGAGCCCATTTACAGTCACTTACTCCTGAAATGTAAACTGCTGATGGTAATTAATTATATACTATGGAGGATATTACATATTATCTATACTATATGGTCAGTTTTCATCACAGGGACCTTTATTCACCAAAGCTACACAGACAATTTCATCCCTGCTCAGATCACCTGCCCACACTGAGTAAGCTGCAAGAAAAGCAGTAGGAAAACTGCAGCTCAAGACTGATGTGAATGGATATGAAATAAGCCCACAATCTCCTGCCAAAGGAGGATTAATTGTGGTACCTTAAATTCATGGTAACTGATTAGACTGATTCTCTCAAACACATGAGCTGGAAAAACAGGAGAAAGATTTACAGAGGCATTGAGATGAAGACACAAGGAAATTTGGCCAGGAAAGCACATGAAAAACACAACATGCTCTTTTGCATCAGCTTGAACTCAATAGTGGAGACACCACAGCACCAGAACCTAATTGAAATTGCCAAGAAAGGGCAAGTTTAATAAAACATTTGTGAGGATGGATGGTGATTACAGAACTGCTGGATGGGCAGTATTTATCTCCCTTGTTATCATTGTATGTGCAACTCCTATACCTTTTGTCCCACTTTTAATTTAGATCATAAGAAATAATCCACTTCTATAATGTCCTTAAGTGCAGTTTTCAATCACCTGAGAAGTGGTACTGACAAATTCCATGTGACAGATGATGAAGACTGAAGTCAAACCATCAGGAGCACACAATTTCTCAGTGCTCATCCTGGGTCAGGGTACTCTGCTGTAGCACTTCCACTGACTATTTCCAGAAGAGAGCTGCCTGAATCTACCCAAAAATTACTCAGGCAAGTAGAAAAGTTCATTTTCTGTGGCTTGCTCGTGACCACGTAAGAACACTGAAGTAGCTCTTACCTCATCGGAATCAATAGACATTAATCATTAATTTAAATAGAAGCAGTGGTGGGGCAGTTCAAGCATATCCAAATACATGTTGAGACTCCTAAATCCCACCAGGGCTCCTGACTTTCTACTGATTTCTGTCCCTAAAAACTGAAACTCTTTGCTGAAACCAGAGGTCAAGACTTGAGAAAGACATCAGTCTAAATATTTGGTTGAATTTCTACACATGTAGGAATAGAAGATCCTTTGACTGATTTATTCCCCAATTCTTCATGCTGCATGGACTCTACACTGCCCAACTTCTGCTGCCAGTGAAGCAATATTCAAAAGACAGAGGCTTCCTATAAGACACACAGCCAGTTCATCCTTAGAGCAGCTTTTGCCAGTGAGCTCTTACTGAATGAATCAGCAAGAATCCCAGTGGAAAAGTAAAGTACAGTCTTGTGCAATTAAAACCTTATCAAACAGAGAATCATAAATAACTGTTAAAAAGAATTCTAATGGTTCACCTAAGTCTATCCTCCTACAGCAAAACTAAAAATATGTCTGAATGTATTCTGTGAAATCTCTTTGCAATGTGAAGGCCTTATACACAGTACAGCCATGGAAAGTGCTGAAGGGCTGAACTCAGCAGTGTCAGTGGGCTTTTCCAACCTAAACAATTCCATGAGTCTGTGCTTAAAACAATCAGTAGTGTTAATACTGTCAACATCTATAGGGGGCATCATTAAAGGTTCTCAGTAAATCTGGGAGGATTTATTAATTGTTTTTTTTACTAACATAGGGGTCACTGTAAAATACAGTGGAATTTAATATCAAATCCTTGCTATTTCTGATACTCTAATTCAATGACAATTGTTCCACTTTAAGTGCAAT